ATTTGTCGACATTATCATAATATATCTGTGTGTGTGTGTGTGTGTGTGTGTGTGTGTGTGTGTGTGTGTGCATGTGCATTTGGGTGGGTGTGGGTGAGTGGGTGCATGTCTTTGTGTGTCTGTGAGTGAGGGATAGGGAAGATGAGGAGGGTGATCTCGGACAGGTGCTTTCAGAGAAGCCCTTTGACTCATGGTCTCTAATTTTGTTAGGGCTCTTTTATGTGCATATGTAGGTGTGTGAGTGTCTGTGTCTGTGTGGAAGGTTTTTGGCTTTCCCACTCCCTCACCTTTTGATTATTTGCTTTTTAAGGGGGAATATTTTATTTGTCACAAGATGTATCCAGGCTGTTAGATGCAAACAATTGCTGATGTTATGAAAAATTTAAAATCCAATATGCTGAAACAACTGGCCAATTCCTCACAAAATAGTCCAGTTCAAATACTGGTATGCGCAGGTTCGTATCAGCCTCTAACGGAACCAAGAAACATATTGGCCTTCATTTATCAAGCTTGCGTATGGCAGAATGTGGAGTGCCGTTGGCTGTGCTGGTGCAACGTCAGGACCCGATGCCCAGAGAACAATAACGAGGAGAGACTCCACAAAGGTGCTGTACAGAGGAGACAGGACCTTATCCATGGATTCTGACATGTAAAGTATAAGTTTAGAAAGTGCTCTTGCTATTTAGTCAGTAATTAAAATCCAATAGAAATAGAAATCCAATAAAAATGTGCCTCAGGGGCAGCAACACACCGTTTGGTGACGTTAATAATTAGTTTGTTCAGCCTCTGTCAGACTCTCCAGTCTGCTCTACATTACAAAGACGCAACAAATTAAAACTAAATACTTTCAATAATAGGAGCAACACCCTATGTCATGGCAATAAAAAATATGAGGCATGAATGAGATATTGATTCATCATCATGAGCAACGTATTGACTAATGATTTATTCAAACTTCAGCCACTGTCCGCTATTCCGCAGCAGCGCTTTTCATCGCCACCATAATCCTGCTCCAGACAGGAGTTTTCTGGGCTGCTTTTATACCAGTTTTGATGCTTCCAAAGAGAAAATCCTTGTTAGTTTACACCACAGATGTGACGATATCCACTTTCAGCTCGGGAAAGTTTTAAATTTTTCTAATATTTCTCCTCTATCATGTTTGACCTCAGTGGGCGAGGCTTCTGAACCATGAATGTTTAAGGACGTGACATGTTAATGATGATCGATTTCAGCCGCCGCATTTATCAAGATCTGATCATACGTACCCTTTTATGAATCTCACGTGTGTCCTATCATACGATGAATCCTGCGCTCAGATCTGCGCTCTGTTCTACGCAAGATTAATAAATGAGGGCCAATGTGATTGGCCCTATGGTGTTTCACTGTTAAATTATACTTATGAATAGGGATGAAGCGCATCAAAGGCCCAGTATATACTGTTGGCATAATGTTACATTCCATGTCAGTGCATATAAAGGTGGGGGGTATCATGCCTTTTCACATTTACAACAAAGACTGCACAGTTACAAAGTTTGGTGTTCATACTATATGTAACAAAAGGTTACACAGTGGTGTGCTCAGTACGTCTGTGTACTTGGCAGCCAACACAAACCTCGGGAGACAAGCTGTCTCCTGACGACCAGTTAGGAATTGGCAGATGAAAAACAGAAGGAAAAAAAAAAGGATTTCCATTTTTCATTTGATCATAAATAACGGAGACTGAAAAAAAATCTGTATTTGACTTTCTGTGATTATGGCTTTAAATAAAAATCGAACATCAAAATCTGTGTGTGAAAATTTTGTGTTTCAAGTTTCACTCACAATTTTGTTGTGACCCACATGTGACTTGGAGTGAGAGGCTCTCGTTAGCACAGATATAACATTAGATATGCCAGCATGCTGAAACAGCCTGTTTGGAGACTTGCCAACGTGGCAGCCATCTTGGTGTGGGCAACGTCCCTATCAAAGGCATTATATGTACATGGAAAATAAATATCTTCCTCATTTCACAACTGATTTTCACGTGTTTTACTGTATTGTCAATGTCAAAACGTGCTATTAATGCATAACATTTGATGTTCTGTTTGATTAGCACATTTGGTTTGAGGAACGTATAAATCCGCTGCCCTCCTCTATCATGGGGTTGGAGGGGGATATAAAGAACTGACTTCATATAATGTATATTAGCTTTTAGCTGGTTTGTTAGCACCGTTGCGGTAAACGTAGGCTGTGTCCCAAATGGGTCCCTAACCCCAAAATAGGCGACTATATGGGGGTTAGCACCATATTGTGGGGTGTCCAATACCTGAGTGATCAATTCCAATGTCCCATGTAGGCGACTCAAAATTTCCCATAGAACATTGCAAAATGTAGTGACCATCCGATGGTCACTCACCGTCGGTGGGCATCCCATCATGCATTGTGTCTCAAGCGGTAGTCTGAGCAGCAACGTCATAATGGTGCGCCATGTAGTGTCCGAAACCTCCGGTGATTGAGCTCACTATATAGTCAGCTATATAGTGAAACCCCATATGGGGGTTAGGAGTTAGGGATTGAGTGATTCATTTCAGACACAGTCGTAGTCTTCCATCTGTGCTAACGGGAGCCTCATGCTCCAAAACACAACTTCCGGGTCACAACAAAAGAGTGAATGAAACTTGAAACACAAGATTTCCACGCAAGTATTTTGATCTTCGATTTTCATGTATAGCCACATCACAGATAGTAAAATACTGAGTTGATTCTCCATTCTCAGATTTTCATGATTAAAATAATAATCTGAAAATGGTTTGTTTTCCCATTTTTCGTTTTCCGATTCCATACTGGTTGTCTCCCGATTTTCGTTTTTCTGTTTGAAAATGAAAATCCATGGGCCGCCAAGTACACAAACCTCACTAACACATTATTGTCTATTTTTTCAACTGAATGCCAGGGAGACCCGATAGTGGGATCCATCATGATTCAGTTTATTATTGATCCTGGTCACTACTCATCATTCACACCTATCCACTAAAAAAACACCAACTCATTCATCTAAATGTGAGACACATACATGACAAAACCTTTTGTGGTCGGTTCATCAAATATTAAATGAAAGCAGGCTTTTCCCTGTTAAAGTTGCATTCTTCTTCATGGGCATTTTGAATATATGCTGCAGCTTTATTTTTGTTGTTGTTGGACTGACCTTGAGTCATCTCTGCAGGCAGTTATATCACTGATTTCTTCTATGTAAACCTGATACAACTGTTTGACTTTTAAATGTCAGCTAAAACTGGAAATGAAAGAAAGAGTGTGAGCACAAACACTCTCATGATTCATTTCCAAGGTTTTTCAACTCCCTCATTTGCTTTTGGTAATTAGGAAGAAATATTTGTCTGATCTTTTATGTAATGTCTAAATTGCAGGATAAATATTTTAATTATCTGCTGTTATATTTTGGGAGCTTCACACCACGGGGTACGGACTGATATAAAACAGAGGTGGTTCAGTCTTTATGTGCAAAAACAAGCCTGCATTTGCCAGCAGGGAGGATGGTCTTTAGCCTGAGTGGGAGTTGTTGGCTGAAATGAAAGGAGAGAGAGATATATTTTAAGGATGATACTGGTGATAGAGAGATTTCTTTTCTTTTTCTTTTTTCTTTTTTTTGTGTCACACACTATTACATTCAGTTGTCTACTTAGTGTTTGGTATGAGGTTATGGTTTCTCTCAAACTTAAGATGGTTGTATAAGATCTGTCATAGTCCATTTGGTTTGCAGGGCCACATGTTACAAAGGTTTTCTGTCTCAGTGAAATGTCTCATTGTGTTGCAATAAATTGAATTTACAGTAGGAGATTGTTTCAAGGCTGCATATTGAGGAGAAAACAGAGAATCCACAGCACTCTAGATTAGATTTGTATTTAGATGACACATTCGCTATTGAAAGTTGGCGATTTCCAGTATGACTCTTTCAAATTGTCAGTGGATCAAACTGGATCTACTGTCAATTCAAATTTTAAAAGAATTTTCAATAATGTGTGTTCATTCCTTAACCTGACAACAGATCAAGCAATAAAGTCAACAGAGTGGAAAAAAAAAAACTAGTGGGAATACATGCACATTGTCAAAAGTACATCCAGTCCAAATTTACACTGTATGCTTGTGCAAGTCAAGTCGTGCCTGCCACCCACAAGCTATTTTTCACCTGCTGCCCACCTACATCAACAATAGTGAAGCAGAATCCAGGATAAACACAAACACAAACAGACACAACAGAGTGCACATGGTGGCAGCGCTCCTCAGATTAACCTTTATCCTCCCTGATGAGGCCTGCTGTCTTTACCTGGAGCTCTCTGCATTCAACACAAGATGCACAACATACCAAAAACAATAGCAACCTTTTCCTCCTCCTGCTCTTAGACAATGCTCCCAGTTTTTAGGAGTTTGCCCCAGTGGGACAGAGGTAGGGCTAAAGCTGTGCCTCTGACCTCCAGGTCAAGCTGGATCTGTCTGTCATGAAACAACTAATTTGCACCAAAAAGCCATTGCAAGGCAATTCCTTTTTTTTTTTTTTTTTTGTGGTAAAAGAAAAAAAAAAAATGCTTTTCAGTTCCCTTTTAGCTTCGGATAAGGGAACATAAAAGCAAGAGAAGCTTACAATTTGGTTTGAGGAACTATAGGCAGAACTGACTGCCAAGCCATATTACATAAAAGTCAATTAAGCTTCAGTTGTTTTAATTAGCATTCTGTGTTCATTTCACTTCCCCTTCGCAACACAGCGCTGTAATCAGGGAAAGGCACAGAGAGATAGCAGGAGAAGGGGGAGGAATGGAGGTGGATCGAGTTTCTCGGCCGCTCTGTACCCTAATCCTGGATTTGGAAGAGGGATGAGGGGAGCACAGGTACAGACAAACACAAGCAATAACAGCACTGACACAGGATTGGTAGGTGGAAGAGAACAGCTTGATGGGAAATAGGGGGCTTCATAGGTCGAGAGGGTTGGTTGCTCATAGGTGGGTGGGATATAAATACCTGCAGTAGACAAAGGCGGTAAAATGCTGAGCGTATGTCAGACTCTTGCTTACCTGCATGCATAATAGGGAAAAAAGGGACAGGGGGATGCAATGCAGAGGCCCTAATGAGAGGATGCTCAGCAGCTGAGGAAGACCTTTGAGCTGAACCTGAATCATCTACAAGACTCTTGTCAGGGGGTACAGATGTGTCTAAAACCGTGAAGAGCTCGGGCTGAGGTGCTGACACCAGTTTCTCTTTGAGAAAATAGGTAACCTATGACAGTATTCTACCTGCATATTCCCAGGTGTCTTAAGTTAAAACTATGCTTGACTGAGTTAGGGAGCAAAAGGACACAAGAAATAGGAGAGGTGAAAGATTGCAGGAAGAAAAAGAAAAAGAAAAAGGCAGAGTAAGAGAAGGCCAGAGAAGACCAGATAAAGTGAGGACTCAGGCACAGAGCAGACATTAATAAATCTAGGTATTCAAGATAAGAAGCAACAGAGTCAAAGGTGAGCAATGAAGGCACACGAGACAACATAAATCAACAAGAGAGAAGCAACCGACAGTAGGATCAAACCCCAGAGCATCATTCGGACCCTTTAGGAGCATCCAAGGAAACGATGGCCTGCCAAGCCTTCAGCGCTGACTCGTTCAGCCCACTGGCAGGAGATTCACCCCTGCCCATCCTCATGCATCACGCATCAACCACTGACTGCCTTCCAGCCACCTCCCATGCTCACAGCATGGTTTCTGCAGGTAAACTGGACTCTTTGTCCTGAGCTGTTCTCTTTCTCTTATATTATTTAATTGTTGGAGTGAACCTTGATTTATCCACCTGATAATACTACTATTACAATCTACATGGTGCTGGCAGACGTTGCCATGCGAATGGAAACTAGAAGAAAATGCATGAAAATTGACAGCAATGAGTGTGTTTTCCATCAATAATATGTATATATTTCAAATCACAAATCAGCACTTGAAAGGATGAAGACAGTTTTAAACTAACACCACGAAAAACCTGATCTAACTGCATGCATTTTTGTAAATTATAGTAAAAATATCTCATCACAGCTAATGTAATGCTTGCTGACTTTACAAGTCCATAAATACCTTTTATTAGAAGATTTACAAGCCAAAAATAAGGACTTAAAGTAATGTAATAAACATTATTGGCTGACTGTTTGATCAACTTGATATACTATCTCCTTTTACTTACTATTATCAAGTCCTTATGTTTGGCCTGTAGTAATTTTGAAATAAGACTTGGGTAAGATCTGGACGTTTAAAGGTTAATGTGGCTCATAAAACATTGTGTTTAGACACGTCGATCACCACATGGTGTTTTATTGATGTTAAATCTCCCCTTACAATATAGCAGGCCTCTAAAAATGACTTTAGTTCCTGTGCCATGTGAATATAATTGAAGACATGTTGTGCCACTGTGTTTTCACTTGACAGTACATAGTCGGGAGCTTTTGCAGGGATTTACTTAAAGAAACACACAGGTGAAGTGTCGCTGTGTTGCACCTATTAGCCTGGAAATAACAGAACCTCACTTTCCCCTCCTCTTCATCAAGGTACACAATGATAAGGGTGAACTGAATTGGAGAAATACATTTGGAGAATGTTATTTAAATGTTTCCCATCAGCCTCCCTGGCCCAAATGTCTCTATTCAGTGGGTATTTCCTCTGAGGATTGGTTATCAGTATGGGGAGCTCCTATGGGATTTTTCACCATGAAATAATTTAGTGCAGACTTCATGGCATTTAACTGCAAGCTAGCTGTTGTGTGTCAGATTAACTTCATTAGGCAAATATTTCACTTGTGTAGCAGCTAGTAAAGCTGCTGGTCAAACAATTGTTCCTTCATTTTTATGGTGTAGCAAAACATTCACCTGGATTATAATAATAATTGTGTGAAAAGCTTAAAATGAGTTTTTGAATCAACAGTCAGTACTGCCTTTCAAAATAAATGGAAAAATAAATCAAATAGCAAATCAAAATTCAAATCAAAGCTTCATTTAGGGCAAAAACTGCAAAACTGTTCTTAGTATTTGACAGAGCCTTGTAAGTCATGGTCAAATGATTAGACAGACAAAAGAAAACACAGAAACTGTCTGTACGTGCGTTGATGACCAACGAACAACTCAGAGTGCATCTGAATAACATGCATTAGAATGCATTAGTTCTCCAAATGAACTTCAAACTGAATAAAAACCTGAATACATGAATAAGTATATGATTAGCAGACCGGAGCAACGCTCATTTAGTATATCTGTATACACTCTGCAGAGAGGACCACACTTAGTCAGGCAGAGGTTTAGGTCTGGCTCGTGACACAACTGTTAAATAGTCTTTGTTAGCATTAAATGGCTGATTCCTGGTTTCCAGATCATAAGCACTGTTTTATTTGCTATACTTCTTTATAGTGTCCTCATTTCAGTGGCGTATCTTGTTGAATTTATGGGGCTGTTTAAAGCCGCGCCAAGTCTTAAGTAGAAGCATTTTCTGCAGATTACCATCACATTTCTGTTATAAATCGAAGACTATCTTTATTTCTTTCAAGCCTTTTTCATATTTAGAGATATCATTTATCATCTGCAAATACTTTGCAGTAGTTAGTATCATCAATACAAGCGTGTATGGATCTCTAAAAGCATCACTGCTTTTTTCAGCTCTGTTATGTATTCAGATCAGTAAGCCAACAAATCTGAATTTGCTGTTTCTTTTGTTCTCCAGTCTGACTGTAACGACATTTCTCTCCATCAGTATCCTCTGGGCTTACCTTGGGTCAGTCGTCCAAGCGCTCCCACATGCACCTGTCCACTTCCTCCCTCGGCAACGCTCTTGGAAACGGCCCACCGAGCCTACATTACCCAGTTACCCCCTGTCACTACAGCAACCAGCAGGCTACCTATGGCATGATGGCAGGTGGGTGGTGGTGTTGGTTTTTGTGTCAACCCTTGTGAGGCTTTATTTAATCTGGTGCTATTACACAATGAGCAGACAATTAATCATCATCCACTCTACTGCTTTTTTTTTTAATCGTTTATCAAGGACATGATCTAAATATTACATCTTCAGCCTTTGAGGGAGCTTTTCTTCTTCTTTCTGCTAATATTACTCCTTAATAAAAACCTCGCAGTCTGGTGTTAGTTTGACAAAAGTCAGTGGTGCTGAATTTGAAATTTTAAAAGTGATTTTTAAAAGTTTAAAAGTGTTTTTTTTTTACTCATACATTAAACTATTAACTGCTTGCAAAATTATTTGGTGTGCATTTCCTGTTAATATTTGAATGACAATGTCTGAGGAAAGTGCTTCAAAGATTGGGACATAGACTTAATGTCATATGAGGACAAAATCGTATAGAAAGCAATTTCATTTTAACAACCATGATTATGACTGAGGTCTTAAGACTGTTTTGCAGAGGATGGCAATTGCAATATGCAATACATGGTAATGGCTACTATAATTTTGAAAAGAGAGGCTTAACCCTCCCTCCCTCCCTCTTTCTCTGTGTAGCTCAGGAGATGCTCTCTGCCAGTATTTCTCAGACTCGTATCCTGCAGACATGTGGTGTCCCTCACCCCAACATGGTGAGCGCTGCAAACCCATTGCAAGGTAATGATCTAACCATCAAGTGGCACCATCTTACACACACACCTACACACACATATACACAAGATCATTCCCATTCCTGAACTGCAGTTACACCCAATAAATTGAGCAGACAACTTGTTTATTCCCATTTAATTTGAAATCTGCTACCAGTTAAAATCAATTTCAGACTTGATTAGCTCTCCTTACGCTCAAGCTATTCAGCACACTTGTTAAACATAACTGTCAAAGCCGACTTGCCACTTCCTCCTCCTGTGGAGCGAGCAGAGAAATGAAGGTAGGAGTACGTGGTTCTGTGAAATCTGTCAGAAACTAGTGTTGGTGTTAAAGTATTTTCTATTTATTCATGGCAGAAGATCTTCTCCAGCCAAATGCAAGTCAATCATCTGTCTCTCCATAACTGTTAGCAATATTTCAACAGACAACACTGTGTTCCAAACAGATGGAAACAGATTTTATCTTTTAACAATAATAGTTGTCTAATCTCAGAAAATGGAAGGCCCTTCTGCTGGTATTATCATTTCAGTATGTTTCATTTTGAGCGAGTTAACACTAATGTGCCAAACCAATTAGCAATGTTATTTTGAGTTTCAAAGGATTGACTTCTTACTGTACTACTGTAGGCAGTGAGGGCTAACGTTACACACCAAAAAGTTAGACCACTTTTCTTAATCAATTAATATCCTTTATTTGACAAGTGAAAAAAAAACTAAAACTCATTGAGATTTAAAACTGATTTTTCAAGAGCGACCTGGCCAAACACACAAAACACAAATAAAATACAGTCTCTCACTACCAAGAGACATGAGTGGGATTATATGATAACACAATAGCTGTGACCAGTAATAAAACACAGAGCACAGTTGGATACACTATCCAACTCTTTAAAAAAACTGATCAGGAGCGTTCGTAAAAGAAAAGTCTCCATAGTCCAACAAGGGTAAAAAAGTTGTGTTGATCAAATATTTTCTGACATGCAATGAAAAACATAATTTATTTCTAATAAAAGAAACCCATTTTCAATCTCAGTTTAGAAAGAAGTTCATCAACTTGCAATTTAATGGACAGATTCTCATCTGTCAAGATTTTTTTGTAGGATGTAACAATGAAAATTTCAACCCCATGAACAGTTTACAACTTAGGAAGATGAGATAGGAGCTGCTTGCCATTTGAAAGTAGCATGGTCTTTGATTAATCTGAATTAAACTGCATTCAGCACTAACTGTATGACTAACTGTACTAGAGCACTAACTTAACACTGACTGTCAAACAGTCAGTATCAAAGGCTGACTGCAGGAGCTCAAGGGATTTAAGAGCTAAAGAAGATTAACAATAAATTATTGTATCATCAGCATAAAATGGGACACAGCATCAGACAAATTATCACAATGATTATTCAAATAAATTGTGAACAACAGTGGCCCAAATGTAGAACCTTGAGGCATGCTCTTTAGAAGAGGGAGGAAGGAGGAAAAAGACACACAGCCTGGACATACTGTATTCTGTCTGATAAATAATTAGAGGACCAGTTTATAGCCTGGTTAGATAAACCAATCTTGTGGAGTTTATCTGCCAGGATGACACGGCCAACTGTGTCAAATGCCTCTGACAAGTCTATCAAAAAAGCTGCACAATGTTGTTGGCCGTTTAGTGCTTCTATAAAATGTAATTTACCACTTTAACAGCAACAGTTATTGTACTGTGCTGTTTACAAAAACCTGACTGATATTGTGAGAGGAGACCTATACATCTAAAAAATATTTAAACATTTGTTCACCGACCAACTTTTCTCAAACTTTGGAGAGAACACACAACTTAGAGATACTAACTACCAATCAGAAATCGTTGATACAGTGACAAAATAATCCAAAGTCCTGATCAGTCACACCCACAAGAACTAAACATACAAGGTGACTACGTCATGCAACTATTACCTACTGAATAAACAAACAAGCAAACAGCAAGTTTTGATCTAAGGATGATTTCTTTGATTCAAAAATATGAAAATAATGGCTCAGTTTTGAGAGTTGGTAGCATTTCCATGGTGATGATATTCTTATTAGCCTACACACAGGTCAAACTGACTAACTAAATTTGTATCCACTGTAAACTCCAAACATCACCCAGCTATGATATTATGAATCATATTAGACTTGGCATTTTCATATACAGTAAAGCAAGAATAAGAGCAAGAAAAGCGGTTTGCCATTGGCATTCTCCGTAGATGCAGAAAATAACAGCTGCTCTCGTTTATGGTCCTTTCCCCAATTACTTTTCAGTTGGCATTTTCACACTCTCACTCAACCAGCCCTGCGACACTGCCAAAGCCCAGAGCGTGCTGTGGTCTGCAGTCGTTTCATGTCTAAAGACTCCTCTTTCACATGGAAGAGTTTGGGTGGATACTGAAGTAATCATTTGAGAAAGATTTTTTTTCCATGATGCATCTCAAGAAAAACTCTGAACTGTCAAAAGATAAGTTAAAATTTCAAAGAAAAGTTAGAAAATTACTTAATTAATTTAAGTCAGAACATCCAAAATAGAGTCATGATTTAATATGAAGAAGCTCACATGCATATATAACTGTGCTAGGATCTTCTGAGGTTATTTATAATGTAAAAGTAATGTCGAAAGAGAAGATGTGACACCTCCACTTCACATTTGCTTTTGACCATTTTAAACACTAAATTATTCTTTTTTCTCTCTAATTTGAAACTTCATTCTCAAAATGCATAATGACAAAACTTCCCTATACTTTCACTTCCACTCCATCTATTCTTTTTTTTTTTTTACCACTTTTCATCTTTTTTCTGCTTGTGACTTCTCAGTCATTAAGCACTAATTTAAAATTTTGTGTTTCCAGGTAAATTCAGAATAGTATTCAAAATGTTCTGGATGTTGTCTCCTGATGCTGTCAGAGAGTCAAGTTGGTTTTTTTTTGTTTTTTTTTTAAGTGATATCATAAACAATACATCTTCAGATTTGCTGTTACTCCGTTCTTGATTTAAGAGAGATGTGTTTGATGTGAAATTTCTAGTCTAACCTCTGTCGGAATCAAGTAGATATAATTGAACCAGGTGATTAAAAAGATGTCAGGTAATAATTACTATAATTCCAAGTTACCACAGTTTTCCCAAAAGAGACAAAACAAAGCAAGAAAGTTGTTAAAATCATGAGAAAAAGTAAGAAATAAACATAGTAAAAGTCATTTTAAAGGATTTTTACATGAATTTCAAGTTTTAAGGTAAAATGTCTAAATGTAAAATGTAAAATAAAGAGAAAAAAAAGGTTCTGCAGTTAGATACTGATTTAATGAGGGACTTAAAAGAGAAAACAGAATTATCTGACCTGAACTCATGCAAATTGCTCTGGAACTTTGGAGCTCTTCTAGCAAAAACTTCTGTCACCTTTAGCTTTGGATTTTTGAACATGTAGACAATTTCTACACGAGGATCTTGATGTAGGTGCAATCAAAGCCACAGAGAGCACTAAAAGTATCAGAAACCATCTAGAAACTTTGCAAAAAATATGCCTGACACTAGTATTAAGGAACTTTGTGCAGTCTGGAGTTTAATTTAAAATTTTTGATTCTAAAAATTTGCTAATTTTTATTGTTAACAGGGATGTTTCTGCTTCTCAAAAGACATTATCCACTTAAAATGAAGTGTCTCTACTAGTCTCTCCTTTTGTTAACCTTGAAAGTTTCACAGTACCTACTGTGTATGGAAGAGTAGTGGACATTGGTCCTCTTGAAGGGAGGGTAAATTTTACTTTCCTCCATGTAAGTGTTAATTAGGATCGAAAATTACATCTCGGAGTGTCAAACCTAAAGATAACATGAACATAGTTTTATTAGCTCATCTGTGAACACATATGCGAAACATATCCAACACTTCATCTGTTAGACTGGATGTCAGTGTGCAGGTGTCCTGCATACTAACTACTCTGAATAATTCAAAAATAATTAAAGCACTGAGAGCCATCCAGAGCCTGTAGTAGATATTAATAACCCGATATTGGACACATTTCTTTGTTAAGGGAAAAAAATCATTGAACTAAAACAACTTTGTGAGATGTTACAAAGTGGGAGCACCTTTACAGAAAAGATAATATTACCTTAAATTTAACCCTGGTGGCCCAGAAAAATGCACATTTGTAGAGGAAATAAGATCGGCTCTTTTAAAAGACAAAAGGGAAATGATTTACCCCTGGGGTGTTAACCTGAAAACATGTTAACAGATATGCCCTAATAAAATGATCTGATACTCTGCAGTCCACCGCCTCTCAAAAGCTGTGCTGAAATATATTGGGATTCATATTACATGGATGGTCACATTTATTTGCATCAGGGGTTCATTAGTCACTTTAATAAACTCAGAATGTGCAGTCCAGTAATGGGTACCAAAATTATAAAAGCCAGCTGGTTGGAGATCAGCTAGTTTGCAGCTTTTGTGGGGTTACACTGGTCCATGGGAAGATGACAAAGGATGCTTTGCATAAGTAAAACAACAGACTGACGAACCAACTGTTTATGAAGGATCAAGTGTCTCGAGGGCAGGTTTGAAGTGAGGAAAGCTTTTGATGAACTGTGAAATTCAATTTATCCAAAGTGGCCACCGAATCTGCAAAAGGCTGTTTTAAAGCAAAGGACAGCGCCATCATTAATAGATTAAATGGGACTCTGTAATTGTGTGGACTGCGTGAGAAAAGGTCAGAGAAGAAACTGTCTTTTACTGTAAAATAAATGCTGTCCTTTCCCTTTTTTGGTTTATAATGGATGAAAACAAGTTAGTGAAATGTGAAAGGTTTCAATTTATGAACCTAGGGAGAGTTATCAACTCTGTATTACCTTTCAGCTACACTGAGCGTTTTGGCCTCCTTGGCCTTATAAGCCTTGTTTTCAGCCATAGAAAAAGTACAGAATAGCACACAGAGTGGCTTTAATGTTCCTGTTTTTTAGTCAGTCAGTAGGTGAACGGGCTGTCATGACAGACTGAACAATGACAGGATGAGCAAGGCCTCAATGCAAAGCTGAAGGTGGTCGTCGACCTAAAACAACCTGCTCACTGCACATTATCTCTCTTTTAAATGGCTACCTACTTTCAAAAAAAGTATTTTACACAGACCTGTTATAAAACAGAATTAAAATGTATGTGATAATGTGCTAAACAGTTTAAATTAAACATAGGTGTTGTTTGAAGTGGCAATATCTGTCATTTAAAGGAGCATTTTGAAGCCCAAAAACAGTGAACGCCATATCTAAAACACCTAACTTCCAGCCAGCATAAAAACAGGTTAAGATGTAGAGCTGAGAGGAGGGGGAGTAGCCAAACCAAGGTATAGTCTAGCATCCTGGCAATGACTCCTCCATACAGTACCTGCCTGTTTGATGCCTCTTTGTGGAGAACAGGTAATATTGTACACCTGAGCCTCTAAAAAAACATCACTATAGTCAGGGCTTTGAGCTTCTTCCTCACTTATACTGACAGATATTTCTTATGGGGTGCTTACTGGTATTCATCTACTTCTATCTGATGTAAACTGAAACACTTTATAAGACATCTGCTAATGAAGCCTCATGGAGGGAGCATTGCAAATGACAGTAGAAGGGACGAGGGTAGACATGTTCGCCTGGATATAACCTCCTGGTCTTAACAAGAGAGTCTAAAAGGAGTGAGTCCAACATCCCCCTTGAGGAAACCGATGATGCATACAGTCAGATTGTAAAATCTGCCACACTACTCCCCATGCAGCTGCTGTATGGATCCCACTGAGCAATTTAGTGGGTCAATGATAGCATCCTTTTCAACCCTCCAATTCTGAAACTGAGCCCATTTTGTGTAAGAAAGTTATGAGGGCTTTAGCTGTTTTTATTCTTATTTCTGCCTCTGTATTCCTACAGGGATGCTGCCATCCAAAAGTGAAGCTTTGCACCCATTCTAATAAGGTGGTAGACGCACAAAGCTATGAGCATCAGTGCCCTGAGAAAAGACAGTCACTGGTTTAGCCTGTCAGAGGAGGGGACCAGCAGGTTTCTCCTGCAGAATACAATGTCAGTGTTTCTATAGGATATTTACAGTGTGTCTCCTTCTCATTCTAGTTCCTACTGCACTACAATCACATTAACACAAGAGGGGAGTGTTGCATTGGTCATCAGAAATGGAATATCAGCTTCGTTTTTGTTGACTAATTGACAACTGCATTTAGATTAACATCTGGCTGCTGTCAGACATTACTCACAGAGGTCGAGCCGTGCCTGTAGTCTGCCCCCACACCACTATGAGTAACGTCTCATTTCACTGATCATACTTTTTCTGAATAATAGATCAATCAAGTCTGTCTCTGTCTTGCTGCTGCAGCTGTGCAGACTGTTGATGCAATGAGGGGCATCATATTCAAAATGACCATCGGTCATCAAACCATCTGGGGCCCTGGCACTAATCTGTCATAAATACTAATAGAATTATGGAGCAACAGGCACCGTCTCCATAGCACCTCAGATTTCACATTTACAGCCAGCAGCCTGTTAGAAAGAAGCTCTGTGGTGTGTTAATATACAAATATTGATGACCTGTTGTGCAGAGTTTGTTTAAGACCACAGTAAAACCTCAGTTGTGTGTCCCAGCCCTGCAGCCAAGGTTAAGAAATACATGAGAACCCAGTATCGACTGGCTGAATTTTGAGTGAGGTCCAGAGGTAAATATCCTGATTTGGTTCAAGAACAGAGGAAAGATGTGCATATATAGAAAAATGTATTCAGGATGGGTAATAGTCCTTTTTTTCCAAAATAGTCACTGTTTCAGCTTTCATCTCAAAACAAGAGGCAACCTGAAAGACAAACCGTACAAGCTCCAGCAGTTTCGAATCCCAGGAGCTCAGTGTATCCAGCAGAGGAATGTCAACATTTTCCTCTCTGTCAAAATAAAGCTTAGCATGCACGTGAGGATGGCACCTATCTGACAGTCTCAGGGTCTCCCTTCTGACTCCCCTCAGCTAATTTTCCTCTCTCAAATGTTCAACTGTTCTCACTTGGCCTTTTCCCAACCTCCTTCTCTCCCACAGGGTCACTTACCCCTTGCTTGTACAAGTTTCCAGACCATAGTCTAGGTAGCAGTTCCTGTGCATTAAGCCATGGATTCTCCTCACTGCCCTCGGCCTTCCTCTCTACTGATGAGGCCCCCGGGGGCCCCTCTGTTGTAGAGATGAAAACTGACACCCAGAGGAAGAGCATGCGGGAGCCAGACGATGCCCCTGCCATGGACTCCCCACAGATCAGAGAACTGGAGATGTTTGCCAATGACTTCAAAATACGGAGGATCAAACTTGGCAAGTATCTAAATGATGAAATGTTGAACATAGCCTTTAACTGACCACATTTGTTTCAGCTTGTTATTCACACTCGCTGCTTTATTCTGACCTTCAGGCTACACACAGACTAATGTAGGTGAGGCTCTAGCTGCAGTTCATGGGTCAGAGTTCAGTCAGACTACAATCTGTCGATTTGAAAACCTGCAGCTGAGCTTCAAAAATGCCTGCAAACTGAAGGCCATACTGGCTAAATGGCTCGATGAAGCTGAACTGGCTGGAGGTGAGTCACACATTTCCACTCAACACCATCAACCTCCATTTACAGCAGTTATTCAGAGCTGATCTGTACCTGGATACTACATTTAGATGAGTTACAAAGTTGTAAAAACCCTTTTAGTGCTGTGTGTACAAATGAGTTTGTCACAGTCTTGTTTCAGGACCTAAAAACAGCTTTGGTGTCATCATCTAACATGATGGTTTCTCCTCTGACTTAAAACAACCCCCCCAAAAATTGCCCTTTATCTTCTCTCACTCTTCATCACATTAGTGAACTAGTAGTGTTTATGTGCGCAGAGAGGTGGCAGGTACTTAATGGTAATACAATCTCTTTTCCCCTTCCTGCAGCTTTGTACAGTGATAAAATAGGAATGAATGAACGCAAAAGAAAAAGAAGAACAACGATCAGGTATCATCCACACAAAACAAAGATATAATGCGAACCCTAAAATAAAATCTTTAGATCATACGCTTCATCCTCTTTTGTCCTTTGTTCCAGCCTGGGAGCTAAGGAGGCTCTGGAGCGCAGCTTTGTGGAAAAGAGTAAGCCATCCTCCCAAGAAATTGCACGGATAGCTAAAGGTCTTCATCTGGAAAAGGAGGTCGTCAGAGTGTGGTTCTGCAACAGACGCCAAAGAGAGAAACGGGTCAAAACCAGCCTCAACCTCAGCTCCTGTCTGAGCAAAATCAGCCCAACCTGCCTCACTCAGATGAGTAAAACACAAAGAGCAATGATGTGATTCAGAGATCGGCTGGAGAGTGTCTGTTCTCAACTGGTCTGATGAGCACAGCTGGTTCAAATCCTTTACCTTCAAAGTGATATGTATGTTTGGGAGAACACAATCTAGCATATAACTGTCCTCATTCTGTATTCGGCAATTCACAATGCGACTGCAACAATTCACTTCATATTTAAGTTAAACTGAGATGGGAAAAACTGAAAACACTCTGCCAAAGTATGCCACATGAACATGAGTCATTGTCAGCTTGGATGTGGAATCAGCAAATTGTTTTTCCCATGTGAGGAGATGTTCTTCAATCCAACGTGCAGTAATGTTATTTCTGAAGGGAAATGTTTCTTTGCAACATATGAATTGCTCGGTAATGCAGGAATATTCAGTTACAGAAATGAAAATGAGAAACAGAAACCCTGCCAGTAGTTTCCTTACCTGAAGTTACAATCAACACGTACTGGTGTTTACTGATCATGAGATGTTCTTCGGATTTGATGCTGCAGCTAACAAACCTGTACAAGTGTGAAAGTCCTCAACACAGGCTGTGCCTTTTTTTTTTTCATTCTGATGGTGATGCAAAACTGAAAAAATATCATTATCACGATGATAATCACGATGACATTAAGTGATTGTAAATCTTCACAAAATGATGTGGCTGAGTCAGCCTCATCTGCCTCATCTTCAGTTCCTGTTTTCTTTCTGTTTTCTCGGCCAAAGGGTTCAGCTGATCAACATCTGACTAATGTACTTAAACTGAGATCATACAACCTCACTTTAAAAAAGCAGGACTGACCCTTTATTTAAAAACAAGCCAGTGTCTTTCAGATTACGGTGTATTCTATATTTATTGTTGTTTTATACAGAACAGAGTAGAAATCTTTGTGTCATAATTGTGTTTCTTTGTGTATCACCATTGTGCCCCTTCATTCATGATGCGTCTTTGACATGTTTTATTAATGTTAGTCTGGCTGCTGTCACAGCTGTCATGTATCTACAGTTTCTTTATAACCTATTTATTTGAAACCAAATAATGTTGATCCACTTTGATAAGTTCCTTCTCTCTGATTTATGGTTGGAGGTCAGAGATTTATGAAACTTTATGACATTTTTGTCAACGTAGATGCGAGCCGTGCTGGTTCCCTGTTGTAAGATTGATTTTTCATACCTTCTGATGTTTTTTGTTGTTGCTGCTGCCTTGACAAAGTGTCATAAAAAAAGAAGAACATCAGCCTGTCACAGCTCTGACCTGGTTGGGATGACTGATATGAGGCCTACAAGGTGAAGAAATAAGTTTGCACACTGCAGATTTTCTCACCATATTATTGTCACCTTACATCAGGTACCAGGCATTTATGAAATTGGATTTTTCAGTTAGTCTTGAGTAGAACATGTAGGGCCATGTGTTCACTTATTTAGACAGATAAATATGAAGTGCAGTTATTCAGCTTAATTTAAAATATCCAGTAAATCTGCCAAAGACTGGGCTGCTTTGTCAGAAAAAAAATAGCACTTGTACCGAGCGATTGTCCACCAGTTCCCAGACACTGAATAGTAATTCAGTTGAATTCATTTCTGACAATAAAAGACAGCTGAGGAGCTACATGTGAAATCTGTCATTTTTACTGTTCTATTAGCATATGAATACATAAATTAGCTGGTCATATGTTAAGCCTGAACTTTACAGTGAGTGGGTTAGCATCAGGGGACACATAAATAAAGGTAGGACATCTTATCTCAGGAATAAGCAGGTTCTTCTTTGATTCATGTTCAGCCATCTGACTGAAGAGCTGCCAGGGGAAATAAATGGGTCATTGAGTGCTGACACACTTCTGCAGATGTACAGTGAAAAGTTACAAAGTATGCAGAACTAAATTAATCTAAGAAGCTTCTTCATACTCAGTTATTAGTCATAACAGGAGTGCTTCTGGAGATACAGCTTTTTAACTCTAACAGGCTTCCCTGTATTCAGGGAACATTGAAGACAGCTCTTGATTTCTGTTTTATACGCCATATGAAAATCTACAAGCTGACTGGTGATTAAACAGTTTCTTTTCAAATACAATCCTGAAGTTTGCAATGCTCTTACCACTTGCAATGCAAATGTGAATTGAACAGCTTCAAGTGTCAACAATCAGGACACTGCAACAGTCTGACCTGGAAAATATCCATGTGAATATTTAAAGATCTGCAGCATCAGTAAATTGGAAAACACTCAGTAGAAATATGATACAGTTGAAGTGGTTATGGTTTTGAAATAATAAAAAGAGCTGACAAACTGGTACCTGAAGAAACTTTATTCCTTATAAAAGCCGTTCACCCTTTACAGAGTCACTTTACACTGACTAATGAAACAAAGAGGTATACATACACCTTTTAAAAGTTTGGACATGGTTTAGCCAAACCTAATCAAACTGCACTCAAACACTGTCAAAATCTGTTTCAACGTTGTTTCTGCTCTCATTCAGAAGAAAAAACTGCAGAAAGTTGGAGGGGAGAATGATTTTACAAGAATGGCATGAATTATGTATTGTTTGTGTCATGCAAGAATTAAAATATTTCAACTTGTTTTGGCAAAGGGCATGAGTATGTGAACAAAAGGCCAGAGACAGAGAAAGACACCGACTTAACATTATGTCTTCATCACTCACAAATCCTGCTGACAAGAACAAATAGCTGTGAAGAAGAACAGTCAGTTGGAGCTCTGAGGAGGAGAAAACATCTCCTGGATCACAGTGTCATTTCAGGCAACACTTCCATCATATTGTTTCTGTAGTGTGTGTGCATGTATGCATGTGAGTGAGGCAGCTTTAAATGACTAATGACAGTAACTGCACAGCAGCTGAAAGAGAAAAGGGACTGCAGGACCAGTGCCTTCCTACAATCTCTGTGTAAACCCTATGTCCAGTATAAGATAGAATCAGCCAGCAATCAAAAATACCCCCCCCAAAAAAAACAAAAAACTCATTTGATTACTCAGTAGTACCAACTGATCGATTCAAGACTCTTTGAAAACTTTTACTCCTAATTTGTGTTTGATAAGGTTTGCTCGCACAAGCTGTACAACATCGCAACTTCAGAGGTGCAGATTAAGCGCCTCAGATCAATCCATCCCAGCATTTCATGCATTACTTTGAAGTAAATTGAAGACCTTGCCTGAGCCCTGAGGCTGAAAGTTGGTTTATATTTTTCACATGCATATGCTTGTCTGAGTGACATCATTTCTAGACCTGATGGTCATTTACCCAAAAACATGATTAACAGTTGGTTTAACACTTCCCTTCAACTGGTGCAGCTTAGTTTTTAATGGTGAATGCTTCCCTTTAACTTTTGCATGATTATGTTCCATTAATTTACATACAACACCCCAAAGATATTATAATTTATAAATATATGATATGCTAACCTGCATAACATAATTGGTTTTTAAGCTGCATCAAAGACAGCAGGTCAAAAGAATGAGAAGAAAACTCTGGAGATTCGTCTGATTTCTGCCAACCCTGGAGCTCTCTGAGATTAACATATTTCACTCATTAAAAACTTTTTGGAGGAACACCATCCATCTGCAGCTCTGTGAAAGCTGACAGATTCAATGTCTAACTCGAAGCATTTGCCAAAACATCAGTGCTGAGGTCACATATGACTGTAGCCCTTATAAAGAGATAGATGGAGGTAAACAACAGTGTGGGTGGTTCAGAACCTTTGAAGACAAGGATCTATTAATGGTCCACCTTCAGGGGCCAAAATAAATATTATTTTCATATAAATAGATCAGCTGTTTTGCTTTTATGATAGGAAAGTCCACCTGCTGAGGAAGAATGAATATGAATGTTAATACATGTTTGTGTACCTGCATGCCTTCAAAAGTTTAAATATGTTTTGGTGTGCACCCATTGTTACTCCTCTAGCATTTGAGCGATGGTGTTGTGTGTCAAAGAGTCTGTATCAATTAGTATTAATGTTGCACAGGATTCGAATGTGAACATTAACACAAAAAGACATTTAATCCACTCCCAGAGCTCGGAGCTGCCTCTCAATCTCATCGTCTGAGATGGTGGCTTTGGAGGCGGCGGCACTGGGAACGTCCTTTCCTGCAGCTGGAGCCCTCACCATCTGGAAACACACAGGGGCAGAATAAAAGCCCATTAGCGGCACATTCAATCCAAAGTTGCACACACTCACTCACTCACTCATACACACACAAATAACAAAGTTTGGTGCTTAGTGTTAGACTAGCTGCCATGTACAGCTGCCTACTGTCACTCTAAAGCCAAAAGTTGAGACAGTGTCAAATTTGAAACCTATTACTGCCAAACAAGCTGGAAGGCTGTCAACCCCCAAAAGTCACGCTTATACATAAACACTGTGATTTTTATACCGTCACAGAACTACAGTCCACTTCAGCTTTAGTGTTAGTAGGTGTCATGTAGAACAGCAATGTTTTTTTCTCACAGCATCAATAATCTGTGAGGATCTATGAGAAATAAGACAGTGGAGTGGCAACCAACCTTTCTTTTACTCCTCAGGTATTGTTTTCTCCATCTCTTTGTTTTCAGCTGAATGTTTCCTGTGTTATGACAGTCTCAGCAGTCTTAGAGTGACAACAATCTGGCACGTATAATCAAACTATCATAAGGTAGACCTTTAATTCACAGAAAAACTGAAGCCATTTTCTGTGTTTTGCATTTCTATGTATACGACAACAGCAACAACAACACACCGAGTGGTATGTATCCATTAAATATGACAATAACACATACGGCTCTTTATCTGCTTTTACCCAAGTTACTCTCAAACTACCATAGTTATTAGGGGTGGGATTCACTTGTTGCCCCATGATACGATATTATCACAATACTTGCACCATGATTCGATATTTTTATGATTTTAAACATTAAGAGATACAGTGAGTACTGCGATACAATTTATTGCAGTTTGTATGTTTTTTTCAACATGCCTAGCTGATTTAGCATTTTTCTTTTCTTTATGTTTGTCTTATTGACGCTGTATTTGATTTTCATGTAGCACTTCTTGCAAACCTCCTGTGTCAGGTCCATCTCATTTGTGCCCTGCTTGCACTCCTAATGTAGGTGCCGCCATATTTGTTGAACTAACTTGTACTAAAAAATTAAAAAAACAACACTTGGTCAAAGAGACAATACAATATATCACCAGACAAAATATCGCGAAACTATGCTGTATCGTTTTTTTTTTCTCACACCCCTGATAGTATAAGGCTGTGTAATTTCCTTTATGCTTAGGGGGTTCATTTAAAAAAAGTTTATACTGTCTTACTTTCCAGGAAAGTGTGTGACTTGAGAGCGTTCAAAGAGTTATCTCCTCAGTCTTTAATTGTTAATGAGCAGGAAAAAATGACATCCCCCAAAGTCAAAAGTGGTTTCCAAGCTTTTTATGAAACTTGCCTGTTTGCTCTCTCCAGCTGCGGGCTCATGTATGGGACTGTGTGTGGGTTTGTGCATCATGTTATGCGAGGTAATAACTCATAGAGCCCCCCAGGGGGAGCCACACACAAACACACACACACACACACACCAGATGGACCGCCTGGCAGTTAAACATACTACAGTAAATGGAGAGAAAAGAGCTGAAGGCTAGCCCCACCGTGTGGCAGCTGAAAGACATTAAACTGTGGTCTTAAACCATGTGGCACATTTACTGATCACTTCATACTGCTGAAGGATGCAGTCCAAGGACAACAGTTTCATGTGCTGGCATGAAAAAAAACTTTTTTACTTGTACAAAATGAAAAAAATTATGGATTACATCCAAACCTTTTCATATTTTGCATAAACTTTTGCTTATGCCTCTTTGAGTGTTTTTCAACTGCAGCTACAGTGTGAATTGATGCAGGGCATCATTGCAGGTCACTTGATCTTTCTTTCACTCTTTTTTCTTATTCTTTTACTTCCTTACCTTCCCTGAGATCTCAATGCCGATCTCATCCAGAACCTGGTTAACAATGTCCTGAGATTCTTCTTCATCCCCAGACTCATCAAAGATGTCATCCAGCGTGTCGTTGACTGAACAGATAGTGAGACAAGAAAAGAAGGGATAAGGACAGACCAGTCAATGAAGCTCCAGTCAGACACATTGATTTTCACTCCCTGTTCGGGCTTCAGAGAGGGACAAAGCTGAACTGTGACATTCAAAAAAGTGAATGTATGAATGTTTGAGGCCTTATGTGTATTTGAGTTTAAAACAACAACACTCTCTATCATGTCACCATCACATTTACATAATTCTTTCCTTCTCATACAAACACTGAGTACAACACACAATACTCCTAACAACATGTGCATACATCCTGACAATCTGGTTTTGTTAAGCCTGTACATACCACAGCTCTTTGTGTGGGTGTTTCTGTTAGAGTGCGTATTATGTGTGTGTTTTTGTGTTTAAAAAGAGTCCTTACTCATGTCCTCGGTCATGCCCATCTTCATGTTCTCTTTCTGGAAGTCCTGCATGGTCTTCAGGGTCTTCTGTGGGTCCATCTTTTTGTTCACTGCTTTCATTGTCTGGTGAATGTTATTAGAAAAGGTCATTAAAATCTATTTTCTGTTATTTTATCAAAATACTTCAAGGTTTACATTTCAAAGTTTCTCAAAGGTAACTAGTTTTTTTTCTACTGGCTTTGCTTCCACACTCTCTAACATGAAGTTGAGGGAGGTCATCTGACATAATGCAGTTTCTGCCTACACAGCTGAAATCAAGTGTATCATTGTTTAGGTTTAAAGGCTAAACTGTTCATAGGTGGCACATTTGAAATCATCAGCATTTATCTGGTGATAGAATTTATACAGGAATTTATAAAGTAACACTACATTTCCCAGGATTCCCTTCCATGCTTTATTGCGGCAGCACTGGGGTCAGTTTCTACCACTATAACTTTAATGTTTTCATCATCTCTCCTAATTATATCAGTTTGACTGAAAAGGACAGACACTGATTACTCCTTTTTAAACAAAGACAGTTCAGAGCCAGCTTCAGGGCACCTGACATTTCTTCCTGGATCTTTGGACTTTTGCGAAGCAGGCTTTATCAGAGAAAACATGGGTATTTGGAGCTTGGGGTTTAGCCCCTAGGTGTTCCAACAAGGCTGTACAAAACCTGACATAATCAAGAAAAACCTGATCACACTGTGAACATACAAGGAAAGTAACAGAAGTAAATTCAGTTCTTCTTTTACTCTGTGACTCATTTTTGTGTAATATTCTTTAATCAACTAAAAAATGATGCAACACATGAAAGATTGTCTCTTTTTCTTTATTATTGAGATTTTGTTGGGAGTCAATGGAAGAGTGCTGCTCTGTTTATCTAAGTGAATAGGCTGAAACTTTTGAAAGGAAATCCCCTTATCAGTGTGCATGTGTGTCTAAATAAACTTTGCACATCTGGCCTGAAACCATCAACACACTCTCACTGTCTCTATAACCACCACACACCCACCTTATCACACTCCATTAATTTGAAGCCTAATTATATTTGACCTGTCTCAGTTTGCTAAGTGTGACTCTGTGTAGTACAATGCTCCAGGCTGATTACTACCTCTCACACTTCATTAATGGAGATGGCACCACGTTACATCGTTCCAAACAAGAACAGACTCCACGTGAATACTTAAATACAACACTTAAATATTGATAAGAGTCAACACGGAAACTGGTTCATAAGCTAAAGAGAGAAGCTAACTTCACTAATCCCACACTGATAAAACAAGTCTTTTTTGATGCAGTTGTTTTTTTCCTGTGGACATGTCAACAGCAGGGACTGGGTCAACAACATTACCTTGGCTGTGGTGGACATTGCGCCGGCCATCTTCATTTGGGAGTTCATGACCTTCGTCTGCGTGGACATGGAGGTGACTTTGGAGCTGACTGCATATGTGCGAGCCTTTTGCTTCCTCAGCTGGACCAACTGCTTGGCGAGGATCTTGCACGCCTCCCTGTTTCCACTTTTAGCCATTTTCTTGATTTCTGCCTCCTGCAGCAAGGAGAAAAGAGTTAAGAGTTTTAAAATTTACTTACATTTCATAAGTCCAACTTTAGTGAGACTGAGACAATAACCTACCATTTGAACATCATGTCAATGAATTGAGTGTATCAGAGTAAAAATTAAACTAACTGGTGGGAAAGTATATCCAAAAAAGGAGAACTTTGAGAATGTAGTCTGTTTTATTTATGAAGAATATTAAAACCAATAAAACCTAAAATAACAAGACTATGATGTGGAAATCTGAAACGAATCCACTGAGATTGTGGAGAGCCAGTTTGTCCTGGTTTGATGAGGAAATAAGCCATTTGTCTCACACTGGAAATAAGCATCAAATCTGAGATAAGAAGAGGTGATATCTGGTGAAGAAGAAAAGAACTACAGAGTACCCACAGACTCCAGCCTAAATGTGTAGTCATTGTTCTAAACGCGTAACCAACACCACTGTTGTCTTAACCTCCAGTGTTATCCTCTGACTGTGAAAACCTACACTGCTTTTGTGGACAATGTGCAATCACCGTGATCTTATCAATATTTGATGTGACTTCTCATCACGTGATCTATAAGGTGTTGTAATGACTTCCTTTTAATGGACCGTGTAACACATAAAGGTGATATACACAAACAAGCACATGTGAGGGTTTACCCACTATACCTCAGTAAATAAATAGAAATGTATCCACAAGTGTCCTTGGGGACCAGTTTGTTTGTTTGCAAAAATAGACGTAGTGAGAAAATCTCGTGGATCAAACTGCACACAGCGGCAAGCAAATACACACTGAAGCTTTGGTAAACATCAGAAAACACACCAATGCCCACAGGGATCAATGTGTGTGGGCATGAGTGTGTGTGTGAGCATCCCATGAGACACCAGTGAAGCTGCAGGTTAAAGGAAGCTCGCCAGGCCTCACAGCACTGCTGTGTACGAGAGCTCCAGCAAGTCTCCTTTACCAGTGATGTGTTCACTAAAAGCATCTTCAGAAAGACAATCAATTATTGATGATTGAAGAAACAGACATTCCCCACTCAGCTCAGTGTCTCATTGTCTCTCATTATACATATTATGTAAAGCAGGTAAATCAGCTTCAGCCTATGTTTATTTGCTTGTGAGCTCAGAAAATCAGCACCATGAAGGAAAAGCTGAGGGGCTGAGTGAGAGAAAAAGACACACAGTGACAATAATTATGTCAACTGAGCTGTCATCTGAAAAACTATCAGTGCTTTAATGGGGGAAATATGGGAATGCCAGCAGTGGGCTGCTGCTGCCACCGCCCCCGGTGTAAAGCTTGTGACGTATTATTTACTGTTCTATAGGAATGTTGGTTTGGTACTGAGGGGGTTGCTCTCGTAGAAATGCAGGGAAACAGCACTCAAATGTGCGACCAGTGAGTTCTGACTGGTCTGAACTGTTTATTTTTTCCTGCATGGGCTGAAGATTTATTTCAACCAGAGATGGAAAATGTGCTGCAACTGCAGGTTGAACACAAATTTTTCTACCAACACATTTGTTTTTAAAAGAATAGATTTTTCTGAAGACCAGCATAAATTCAGCCTTAATCTGTGTGGTCTTACTAAAAACTTGACACTTTCATTACCTGTAGCAGTATGAAATGAGAGGACTTAAACAGGGATTTCAAAAAATAGATATAAAAAGGCTTTGCATGTGAAAACAGCATATATTAATGTTCATGATTAATTGTGTTACTTTTCTGTTTCTAGTCTATTAAATCATACAAATTGATGTAGAAACAAGAAAACTTGCTGCACTTTGCATTTTGTTTTCTTTAAGCACAGACTTTGCTCAGAGCCAATTTCATGCAGCAAAAGCTCCTCTCATTTAGAGCATGCATGGTGGGGGGCAAAAAAAGTCATGATGGCGCTAAACTACTAATATAGGTCATTACCATTTTTTTTTTTTTTTTTGAAAGAATCTTTTATTCCGAGCTTACAACAAAGCTTTTGAAAAAATGGACTAATTAACAGGAAACAGTCATGAGGAATAAAAATCTGGTTCCCTGGGGAGGTAATTACGTCCTGTATGATATTTACTTAATACAACAGAGGGGAGAGGACAGACATCTTCTTTTATCTTTCAGAGAAAGGGAATAATGTGCATGTCTCTGAGCGTAGTCTCAATGTGCAAGCTGGGATTGTGTGCATGTGTGTGTGTGTGTGTGTGTGTGTGTGTGTTAGAGAGAGAGAGTGTTGCCTCATTCGCTTAAGGCAAAGCCACCATACTAGAACCCTTTTGTCTTTTTGCTTTGGCCCTTTTAGTGCATCAGGGCAAATATCAGACAGTGGAAAAGGATGTAATCTGCATCCCCAGCCATTTATGAGCATGATAGCACGAGTGTTGGAAGACAGAGAGGGAGGGAGGGGATTCCTAATAAAGCATTGATGCAATAACTGGAAACAAATGGTGAATAGCGGCTGTTGTTCCCAAGAATTTTTGCTTATGTATCTGCACGCACGTGTGTGTGTGTGTGTGTGTGTGTGTGTGTGTGTGTGTGTGTGTGTGTGTGTGTGTGTGTGTGTGTGTGTGTGTGTGTGTGTGTGTGTGGTCCTACCATTTGCTTCTCTTGTCTCTCCAGTGCTGTTCTGTCTCTGGTGATCTGTCTCTGAGTGCCACGCAGCTCCTTCCCCTGTTCCCTGATAATATCTTTGAAGGAGACAAGAAGCAAGACAGATTAGTCTGGTGCTCTCTAAAAGCAACAACACCTGAACATCAGACACCTTTGTATACCTAACATAAATATGGCTTCACACAGGTCAAGTTAAAGCTGTTGAATAGGTCAAAATGTGATTCTGTAGTGTATATCCCAGCATTCTACATCTGTAACCTGTATTTTTGTCAGTCCATAGGTGAACATAATCCACAGGTAAAGATGATTCAGATTTTCTAATGTCACTACCCAGCCTGAAGGAAAGAATCATGAACATCGTCACGCTTTTGGAATAAATATTTCAGGTCTATTTACTGGCTTAATACTGAGCATGTGCTTGTGCGCACCCACAAGCACAAGAAATACCACAGAGTAACAGGCAGCACACACTGACACTGACAACTGTAGTAGTGCTTGGACAGCTCACACCAGCTGTGAGTCAGATCCAAACCACCCACTCAAACACGAAGTGGTATCATGTGAGATAATGCATGACCTGAAGTTACACAATTATCCCTGACTTCTGAGTGAGGGAGAACCCCAGCAGCCAGCATGATGGACATAAAAATAAATAGACAAACACGTGTCTTCAGGAGCTCCAGAGAGAAAACAAATACAGTAAGAACTGTAGTGTTGAAAATCAGCAAACTGATTCATTCAATCTCAATTGTTCTGGGGAACTTCAGGTGTTGTAATATACAGCGAAATACACACTGACAATCTTAATATCATTCAAAAATATGCATAAAAAAATAGTTAATGTTCAGATAAAACAGACACATTTATATTGGAAAAAAATGAGCTATTAGGGGTAAAAACATGCAATGTTGAATATTATTTCATATATACTGACCCCTCTCTCCAAAATGCGTTTTATCTCGAAAAGTCAACCATGAACTTGATCGGACACTCGAGTACATTGGACTACTTGTTCGAATGACGTAGAAGGTATACGTATAAGGTGACGTGCAGCAAACGTCTTGAAGTGGGTGGGATATGGCCCTACAAATATGACTAATCAACCCACCCCCCCCTTCACTCGTACATTTGCCAAATAACCTAAAACCACTTCGACTACTCTACCCAAGGACTTAAAAAAAAAATGAGTGTCCGGATAAAACAGAGAGATGATGATGATGATGAGATGGAGACTCTGGAATGTCACAGCTGAGAAGACCTGACATGGGCTTGGCACTGAGGGAAGGTAGCACAGCACAGTAAGTACAGTATGTAGATGATCAGTACGCGCAAAACTGGAAAGACAATGATGGGAGGAGAGAGAAAGGGTGACGCTGTAAAAAGATTTACCTTTAACAACTCAGCCTATCTTTTTAAGCCTGCACACAATATGTTGCCATATGTTTTTCATAAGAAGTTGAAGTTCCAGAAAAAGGCTAAATCTAATCTGCCCCTCCCCTTTGAAATCCAGACCCCAAAAATGCTTATTTCAACTTTTTAAATATAATCAGTCTTTTTAATAGAATAATTAATTTATCAGATTCGATTAAAAAGCTGCTGCTTTTCCAGTTTGACCTTGTGGTGCTGATTAGCTTTGCCTGGAGGAAAGAACTGAAATAGTAAGATTGAAAGGCTTTTAAAAAGGTTTGACACCTCTATAATCTTCAGGATAAACTGTGAGATAGCCTTACATAATGGATTATTTTAGCTGCTACTTAAACATTACAGGCTGACAGCACCATTTATAATGAAATGTTACTATTATCCGTATTATGATTATTAGTATAAGCTATCAAATAAGCTATTCAAGAGTCTGTGTTAGTGTCACAGATATAACAGCAAGGTTATTTTATAATGTCTGCCGACAAAGAAGACAGGAGTATTGAGGTAAAGAGAAAAGCAGAAATTCAACTACAAAATAAAAGGGTAACTGGATTTGCTTTCCTTTTGAAAAACTCTTCAAGAACCTTAAGCAAGAATAGGATAACCATGACCTGGATGAATGAGAACCTCCATACATCAAAAATAAAACTTTACAAAATTATTAGAGGTCTGATTTTATCTGCTTTGTGAAAGTATGTAAGGTCAGCGCATGAGGCAGTTCGTGTCCCTCTCGGTTATTTCCGTGTCCCTCTATTATTTGCATGTATCATTTCACATTGGCTTTAATGTAGTAGCTTTCTATCCTCCTAGTAGCTTAGAGATTCACCATTTAATGGGAAATAAACGGACCTTGCTTGTACCCAGAAACAGCTAATATCGTTACTGGGAGATATTTAGAACTAACTGAGTTTGTCAGCGTCATAGTCTTCGTTCAGTAATGGACCTGGAGACTCAGCTAAAGGCAAAACAGGTTAAACAAGTCAGTGTTAGACGGGAAGAGCTATCTAAAGATGAAACAACATAACACTGTCCACCCGGGCTACAAACAAGTTAGCTAGCTTTTTACACGAAGCAAACTTACCATCGACAGTCTTCTTCTTAAAAAGGGAAGCCATGTTGCCGCTTTATATCAAGTTATGTACAAATACAAATCCTTTACCAATAAAAATGAGTGGGTTTCTGCTGTTTATACCGCCACAGCAGTTTAGCAGCTTGTTTCCTGGTTGAGTTTCTGTTGTCAGAGTTCCTCCCTCAGCTGACTGACTCAACGGCTCCACTACGTCACGTCGGGACCAGCATGCTGCGTTTACTTGTACCTTGTAAAAATCCTGAGCATGATCAGACAGCGCTTCAACCAGTCGGGAAAGACCACAAATGATAAAAATGTTAACAAGATGGCGTCACCTTTCCACTCTCGTTGTTGTTGGTTGTTAAAGGCACGAAGTAGACAGAAGAGTATCATCTAACGCGCACATATGTATGGGTGAAACAGTGTTGTTTATATTTATGTAAAGACTGAAATAGAAAAAAAAACGTTTACTGTCTTTATTTTCTAAATAGTGTCCGCAATAACAAATATGTGATATATTGACGATGAGACATTAATTAACGGAGATTATCACCCCTTTGATTGATTTACGTCCGAATAATACGAATTTACGATGTTTCATATGGTACACGAAGGCAACACAAGGGCAGAGGAACCGGTGATAATTTGTGTATTCCCAACAAAGAAATGTCTTTTTTGTGAGAAGTCTAAGCAAAAAAAAAATAGATATAGTGACACATACGTGTTGTTAACAGTTGAAATAGACTTCACAATTAAATTCATAACATGTTAAAACATGTGAATTAGATAGCTGGCTTAGTTTCAGACATTAATGTTGGGTTTTGCATTTGGTGTATGGAAGAGTACATTTACCAGAACATGTTACCTGTTCTGGTCTTATCACAGAAACATGTATTTCTTGTATGGAAACTATCCACAGTGAGAGTTAGTGTCAATGAATTCTCCCCTGCAGCCCTTCACAGCATCATAAATTCTGTTATTCTCGGTTTCCTTCCTCATCTTTTTATCCCAAGGGGAGAGACTAGAGGGCTATCATACACTCAAGAGTGTATTCATATATTCCAATTGTCTTTTTTCATATGGATGCTGAGAGCAACTTTATGTGCTGTGCTGAGACTCTTGAACCATAACCAACTCAATTTGGTACAAGTGTGTGTGTTTGCATTGGAGATGGGATCTTGCACTGAAGATTCATGGGGTGGGGTGGGGTGTAGGGGAGTAGTGCCAAATTGTGGCTGGAGCAGAGGAAAGAGAGGGGTGACTTTGAGAGGAGGATGGGTAGCCCTGAGCTCTTTTTCTCTCTCTCCCAGGATGTGTGGACTGCCTGTGTGCATCACCATGTCATCCTGAGGCGTTGTTCTTGTTAAGGTTATTAGGGAAGATGTTTGGCACTAATCAGTGAAGGACTACGGGGACCCCCACTAAATGGTCTCATCATCAGAGGGCCTTGGTGGTGATAAATCTTGCCCCAAGCACCCATGGGGCCTGGAGGTACGGGGGCTGTGACTCACTTTTCATGCTGCCACCAGGTAGGTAGATCTCATTCAAAATCTAGGTATTATTTCCTCGCAATGAATAAAAGTTAGTTTGATAAATTATGTCAACACCTGCTTTCCACATTTTAATATACCTTAAAGGTTTTTACAGCATAATCAGGAGAAACAACACAAGAAGGAACATGTAACACATTTTCTAAAAGAGATTAATGTATATTTTGTGTTTATAAGAGCAAAACAAGAAAAAATGAAGTAAGCAAATAGAATCAAATAACACATTTTAGAAATGCAATAATTCACAGTATCATAGTCCCCCCCCCCCCCCCCCCTTTTTTTTTTTTTTTTTTTTTTTTTTTTTTAAATTTCTACCCTCCTCCTCCTTCTCCTCCTCCTCTCCCTCTCTGTGATCCAGCCTCGGGGCGAGCAGACATGCAATGTTAAGACACTAACTCCAGAGTGTATGGACACACATACAGCACAGAGAGACAATCATGTGTGAAATGAGATCTCTGTACAATCAGTGGGAGTCTTAGCTATAAAACACATCAAGCTTTTCAGCTTTAAGGTATCATCAAACAAATCGCACAAATCCTTTTTATCTGTTGACTGTGGACTTGGACTTGTAACAACCTCTGTTTTTTGTCATCCTCCTTTTCACAGATGGGCATCCAAAGAGGAAACCAAGGGATTTGCCTGCCACCTGAGGGGTCCTGTCCTAGACCAAGACAAAAAAGAGCTGATGGTTACTTCACACCCTGATTCAATTTGCACTTTTTATCTAATATATTCTAATCTTTGTTTCAAACCTTCAAATTAAAATAACAAAAAAAGTCATATCCTATTTAAGCTCTCAAAAAAGGGTTAAAATAACTCCTGAGAAACCAGACTTGATGATTTCTCGTTCTTGTAGTTGTAGAATATCTGCCCTGTATATCAGAAATACCAATGAATCCATTTCTCTTTTCTTTCATCTGCTATAGAATTTTAACCAAGTTCCCTGTGGTATCTTAACTGTAAATCTAATTTACCAGATTTATTGGGAATAAATCCTGGATCATAATAGGACATAAGGTATGATTATGGGCTGTTCCTGCACTCCTGACATGACAGTGGGCTGAAATATGTTTATATGTGCACACAGAGAGATATACGGGGCTGTGATGGGGGGAGCGGGATTTGGATAATGCTTATTCTCTCTGATGGATGGATGTTTCAGCAGGGATGGAGAAAAATAGACGGAATGAGGCAGGGAGGACTCCAGGTGCCAGAGTGAGTCAAGAAGACAGACAGTGAAATAATGCAGAGATCCTGGATTTGGCTAAGAGCACAAACAGACACATGGTGCTCATTTGTTCTCAAATGAAATATCATTATTTTCACTTATCCAAAATTAGATTTAAGCTTTTATACAACTCTGAAATACTTCTGCCATACATGAAGTTACAGCCAAGAGGTTATCAGAGCTTAAAACAACCTCATCAGTTTAGGGTAAAAATAATACATGTTTGTTGCACTGGTGGGTTGTGGACACAATTACCTCTTGGCAAGAGTAACTTTTCTAGAAAGTTACCACTACTGTCAGTCAACTTTGAAGGAATAATAGATTATTTTCATTAAACTGTATTATCTATAAAGATTAAAGAAACAGGTGCGAGTACAATTTTCTATATGTATTTAGACAAAGCGAGGCTGGCTAGATGAATAATAATAACACTAATTCAGCTTCTGACTTGTGCTCAGAATCAGAAGCTGAATTAGTGTCATTATTATTTTAAGATTTTAATTACAAGCTTATCAGGGTACCACGTTTTTAAATCGATGCTGTGGATTATATCTTCACCATGGACAGTTGAAAAAGAAGTCAGATTTGATTTTTTAAACCGCTTTTAAACCAAGAACTATAGAGGACTTAGAACATATGGGTGACAGCAGGTGGCTGAGAGGGTAGAAAGAGACAGAGCGATGATGGGAAACATGAAGACTGAGTGAAAGCAGTGGGGGAGGCTGGGAGCAGGGGGTTTGGGATGGACTAATAAATCGAGTGAGTGGCTCCACGCATTTTTGCCCGTGGGACGACTCAAGTCGGGCTCACCAGTGTAGAGCAACATCAGGGAATTGAGTGAAATGAGAGATTATTCTCCCCTGTAGTCTTGGCTCATCATCATTGCCCCTAACAACCTCCCAAGCCTCCCACAAGGCACACACACGCACGCACGCACGCACGCACGCACGCACACAAACCCTTAACACAAGCATGCAGACTTAGCATTTAGAAGCAGGTGGGGGGGTCATTTATTTGAACACGTGTAGACACTCATACGGTGGTGCACACATCTGGTGGGCATGGTGTTGGTTTTGTGAGTAAGGTCAAACAGGGAGGTGTTATTGTTTAAATCTGCTGCTGGCGCCAATTTTGGATGTCACACTCAGTAAGGCGAGCACTCACACACGCTTCAATGACACTCTCTGTTATCCACAGGTCCTTTTTAGCCCGAGGAGGACAATCTGTCTGAGGGTGGATCCTATGTGCATCAAACCGGAGCTCTCACTCACCATTTCCCTCTGTTTTTCTGTCTCCTCTGTCTCTTCAGCCAGTGGTCCTCCTCACCCTGGGGCCAAGTAACGACCACTAGAAGTGGGCTAGTGGTCCCAGCAGGAGTGGAGGCTCAGACACACCATTAGCATGAGGGAATTAGAGCCATTATGACTGGAAGGGCAACGGAGGACGAGTCCTTCAGTGTGCAGAGGAGAGAGAAGTTGTTTGAAGGAAGACACAAAAGGAGAAGTGTTGCTGGTCCAGGAATAAACATGTAGTCAACGCAAAAAACGACAAACTGTGATAGATCTCATGGATGGTCATGTTCCTGACTGCAGAGAGTGTCATAATATTGTGATTTGAATAACCACACTCTATATTGGACATTAAATATATTAAAATGTATAATCTATGATGGGCATTTGAATGTCTAACTTACCAAAAATCACTGAAATAGCAGTTTTACACCAGTTTTTGGTTAAAAGCAGAATGTTACAGGCTATTATAATGTGATTTACCCACAAACAATCCCTCTAAAATGCAAACTGTCCCTCATTCCTGCTTAAAGTTGCATGCACAGAAAAAGCAGCTTTCCTAATCTTAATTCGTTTCATTGTATATTTCAGTCATACTTTGGCATGTTTTAGCTCGAATCATCCCCATTGTTACCTGAATAACTGCTTGAACAGTGCATTATATTCTTGAAAAAAAAAATAACAGAGCAAAATTGTATGTTAGGCATGTTATGCAGTGGGCATTGTTTCCCACTGACTGTATGTCCTTCAGAAATACTGTATAGTTCCGATTTGCTGTGGATTTTCAGATTTAACATTCAAATCCATGTCCAGCTTTTCCTCAAAAGGAGATTTCTCCCACTTAAGCCATGGGGGTGTGGAGACAGATCAACATCCCTGCATCAACTTGACCCTGTCTTTGAGTCTCCATCATCTCATTAACTTCTGCTGAGCAGCCTGGGCAGTATCCTTTATCTTAATTCATGCAAAATGTGAGTTAAAACTGCAGGCAGACGGAGCAATTATCTGCTTTTTAAGTAAGGTCAGCAGAGGAAAACCATATATCCACTGGTCACTTTGTTACTAGACGGATAGACAGAACCCTCAGACAGAGGAGCACAGACTCTCTGAAGGAAGGAAGTACTTTTCTTTGTCAGGCCTTTGCAATTAAAACTCACATTTCCATCTGTAAAATGTGCAATAATGGCTGGAACAATTAGGACTGAGTCTGTGCGATCATTGAGATAATGAAAAAGCGAAAGCGTATCGTCTTTTGTGTGACAAAAAAGCCCCTGAAACAGTTTGTGTTTCAACTAGCAAATTTCATTTCCATTAACTTACAAATGAGTGCCTTTTTCTCATTAGAAAACATAGTGGTGCTACTATCATAATGATCCCACCGTGTTGTTTTGTGTCTCACTCACACTAAATTATACATCAAGTCTTGTGCTCCAGTTTAAATTAGAAGCAAATCTTGGTGTGTGCACAGCGGTTGGAATTTTTTCTGAATACATGACAGTGAATTAGAAAAAACTCTCACATTGCATCACTCCATGTTCTTGAAGATGCACTAATGGCTCTTTAATTAGACTTTAATGTTTGTACTCCTCCCCCAGCTCTCATACAAGATAAAATTGCATTAAATTATCCACTGAACACAGACAGTATGTGTGCATGTGTAAAACAAAACAGGAGTTTTACCGATATTCTAGTGATTTTATTTAATATTGCTGTATGCAACCTTCCCTGTGCATTTTAATCCTGATTATCATCACTATCATTATCACTGCCATCGTCATCATCTTCAGGTTGTCCAGAGAGTCTCATAGAGGCTCATCCAGGTGTATCTTTCTACTCTTCATCTCCAGGGTGCAGGAACAATAGCAACGGCACTATAAAACCCCTGATGCTGCAGTCTGCTTAATGTGAGATATTATCATTAACAGTACTCAGCGATATCTCACACCTGCCCCATCAAGAGCGTGTGAATGTGTGAGGTTTATGAAAAGAGTTTTGACTTTTCAAGATGCAACATTTTTGCACAAAAAAACTGACTGACAGGGTGGTAAACTGCTTCAGCTCTTTCTATTTTACACTAGTTCCTTTATCTTTATTTATTTGTTTTTGTACTGGGTATGTGTGAATGTGTATGTTGTGTGTACTGCTGCTGTCAACAATTTTAATTTCCCCACTGTGGGATGAATTAAGGAATATCTCATCTCATTTTATCTAATAGAAAATTACTTCAAATGATCTGTTGTTATGTCTCTAAACTCAGATCTGGGACACTTGTGATCTGTTTTTGAGGGTTTCGCAGTGTGTCTTCTTTGCCCCACAGTAATATGTTCCTCTGAAATGTCTCTGTGGTCTAAAGAAGAGGAAGTTTAAGGGGCATGTAAAATCTCTTCAGAACTTAAAGAGCCCTTCATTCTTTCTGTAAGGGCTGTGCAGAGAAAGAAAAGTAAACAATCCTCTGATTCGACTTTAATTTTGTCCCTTCACTCCTGTTTCCACTCTTCCTCTCTAAAACATTCACTAATAATCATCCCACTGCCTCATTAAGGAGCGGGGGAGAGAAGGCACAGGCTGCCCCAGATGTTTGGTGGAAAAGCCCCGAGGTCCAGCGTCTGTGTCAGAGGACTTGTGTGTATCCGTCTGTCGTAATAGGCACTATCAAACGTGCATAATTGTATGAGTGTGAGTATGTGACACTGTTAAGAATCTGTGCTTTTGATTCTTCCTGCACTGCTCCCAGGCATCAGTCTGTGTGCTCCACTGCCCCACTTCTGAACAAAGTTTCTTCTCTAAACAGGGTTACTATGAGAACACTAGATGGAGATATCTGCACGGTGCTGTCATCTGTCTCTTTGTCTGCTGGTATTGTCACAGTGAGTGATTTGGTAGGTGAGGACATGGACAAGGTATAGTAGGATTTGAATGACTTATGGGGGCTTATAGTGACTGTATATTAAAATATTCTCCAGTCAGGTTCTTCCAACAACAATGTATTCTGCATACCATGAGCTCTTGTAGATTTGGTAATTAAACTTGTAATTAAACTCTGGTCTCTCCATTATTATAATTTGAAGAGGTTAAGGAATACTAATTCTCACACTTTCTTTTCATGGGTACACCTGAGGTCCCCCCTCCAGTATATGTGTTTTTCCTCAAAAACTGCTGACCTACTTCCATAACATCTAATCGTATTGTCTCAGCTAGTGACTAAAACATTTATGCCTCTCAAGTGAAATCAAAGTGAATGAAACATAAGTGAAACTGATGAGAAAAGTACAACAAAAACTGTCTCTGGGCTGTCATCAGATCTGACACCTGGAAAGCAGAACGCAGCCGGCATCCAGGTCGTGAATTTTTAATCCTTCTGTCGTCTTTCCCTAATATTTATCATGCACTCACTGGAGCTCACAGAAGGGAGGAAAGACACACTCAGAGGACAATAATGGAGAGAGGAAAAAATCAATGCAACTCTCTAAACATCAAAGAAATTTTACATATTTGAAGCATGAAAGGTCAGTGTCCATGCATAAAAAGACTTCTGCACTCAGAAATATTTAGGCCTCATTGCACACAAAATTTCTATCCATTTGAATTACCTATATTTAACATAGACAGACTGATAAAAAATGGCACAGTGGTGTAGTGATTAGGCGTGAATGTGAGCGTGGATGGTTGTTTGTCTCTATATGTCAGCCCTGCAATGAACTGGCAACTGGCGCTCCCGTCCAAAGATGCTGGGATAGCAAATTTAATGATTTAGAGGGTTATTTTTTTTTCAGTTTGAAACAAGATCTTCAAACCAGTCAAATTTGTCTCCATATGAATTCTAAAGGGATGTACTTTGGGTTAAAACTTCCTCAGTGGATAAGGATTCCCAGAGGAATAATGATAAATGTTTAAGTTGTACCTCAGAGGACGAATCTTTTTTATGACAGACTTTATCTGCAAAGCCTGAGAGAAAAGGCAAGAATAGGATATTCAAGACGGAAACTGTTACAACTATGTAATGACCACTACACCATAGACTGTATATACTATGGACAACTCAGCTCCTCCTTCCGTCATAACATGAATTTGAAGCCGAATTACTCTAGGTATTTCCGGGATTTTCTCCACTTCCTGGAACCACTACTTGTGCAGTAGTAGTGCACAATTTCAACAGAAGAGTCGCTGTGATGACCCACGGCTCAAACAGCGTATCCCCCAGGTGAGCTATACAATGTTTGAACACCCATAGGCTGTGTCAAGTGTCAATCATAGAAAACATGAACCTCCTTATAACTTTTAAAAATGGAGCTGTACAGAAAAAAAGAGGCCTTGAGCACAGACCAGTCTTACAATAACTACATGTCAACATCACAAGCAGGGGGGAGAAAAATTTATATTCTGTGTAATAAATTTCCAAAGTTTGTCCACAGCTCCATAAGCATTGCTGGAGGAGGCAGGATTTATGACCTATACTGCAGCCCATCACCAGAGGGTGCTGCTCTTGCGGTGGCTTCACCCAGCAAGTAGGCAAAGAGCGTCCATTCTATAAACAGTCTATGGTTTAAAAATGTCTACAGCAGAATAAAAAGGCTCATTAATTATTGAACTACACACTGTAATCCTTTCTATCTTCTACAATTTCATTAAAATCCAAACGCAGGTTTCCTTAAGAATGTAGATTAAGACAAATTCTTCTTATCTTATCTTACTTTCACATGATCAGCTTTGATAAGCGATAATAAGCTTTCACTTGGTCTGAGGGTGGGCAGACATACTTCAATCATGTCACAGACAGTATCAGTCCTCCAGTTTATTCAAAGAAAAAAATTATTTATAGGATGAGTTTATAATCATGCCGCTGAGGAAATTGTCTGCCTGCTCTTAGTACTCTGCCTTTTTTCAGCTGATTTGCTGCTGCAGTGAAGTCTGAAGAGAGTCTGGCTGTTGTTGGATAGGACGAAAAGAACATTGTCTGACATCATTATCTCTTTAAATTATCCTGTACCACAGAAAATAGGGACATGGGGAAAGGCCCTTACTGACTGATAACAAAACATGAGGACAAAGGGCATGCAGGATGAAGAAGCAAGCCAGACCAGAAATGGTAAACAGGTAAAAACCCCAATCAAAACTGGCCAAAAAAACCCCAAAGCAGCAAAAAGCAGTTTACAGGTCATTTTATGGACGTACAACAGATTTACTGAAATACAATTAAACAGCAAAAACCTAAAGATTATAACAATGTCTGCACTGATTTTGGGCTCCTTAAATATCTGACCAGTCTTCTAACAAAGGGAAAGACAGGGGTTGGATTATTTTACTGGCATATTTTAAAATAAGGTGAAAAGCTCCCACCTGTATGATCCATTCATCGTCCTAAAAACTAACATCTAAATATTAGAAATTATGTTTTCAAGGGTGATGTGGCTACAATTAGTCTTCAAATGTTAAATCTGACCAAAAGTGGCTGATGAGATCATTTCTTCTTCTGTGCTTTATGGAAATTTACAATAGAGCAATAATATTATCAATAAGGTATACAGGTCTTTCCAAAACCACACTTTCCAAAGCTTTGATAAAGCACCCTGTAAAGAACATTTTCTAATACAGTCTATGGGGTTTGATTATTCTTTTTAATATAGACTCCTGCTGTATATAATCAAGACATAATGCCTGTTTATCTAATAATTTCTAACATTTATTGTGTTGGACACAATAAGTGTTGGACAACCCCTCCACACTTGAATATGTGTAAAGAATACTAAAATTCAGAGCATGTAGAGCTTCTCTGAGGAACTTCTAACTTGTGTTAATATTGCCGCCCGTTGTTGACAAACGCCCTGTCCTCTACGTACTTAAACAGCATCTTTTGACAAAAAAAAAAAAAATCTCATGGTGACTTTTGACAGTCAAATGTGGCATTTACTGTGAATATCCTACGTGTTCATTGTTAATCATGCTTGTCTAAATCTGTATTAATAAATTGTTTTATATACTAATATTTCTATTGTTTTTTCCCATTTTTTGTTTTCACTGGGTAATCTTTTGACTGTGCAAAAGGCTCTTCAGGGGCCCAATGACAGACATGTTATGTTGTTGGCCTCACCAACAGATGGCAGCAAACAGCTCAACTCAGACAAACAAGGAGGGTAGATCTGAACATTTGTTTGGGACATTTGTTGCATTCATCACCCCTCTGTCCACATCCACCTCCAGTCTAACATTTGGTTATGGAAAACAGTCATGTATTTAGAATCCTCCATATTCTCTTCTGTGCACCTGCTACGTTTTGACTTTGTCTGACTGTCCTGACTGACTTGACCAAGTTTTGTATGAACTGAATGACTCTTTGTGCTTTTCCCTTTTTCTTTCTCTTCTTTTCTCTCATTTTTAGCTTTCAACATATGTTTGAATATGTGCTTTACACTGAAAAGTGCATGTGAATACTGCATGTGTCAGTACTTTTTGTTTTTGCACATACGTATCCAAAGATGTGTGAAATATTCTCACATGTGCGGTTTTCTCTTGCCCACTCCCATTGCCTGTGAGCATGGTAGGGGTGTCAATTTCTGGTTACCCTCACTGAACAAAATTAAGGAAATAAAAGGAATTAATTGTATATGTTAGTAGTTGAGAATATAAACCTTGGGCTCCTGACGTACAGTAGAAAAGTGCTTGTTGCTCAGAGATGATTTTTCAATCCTGTGTTTGAATTCAGCAGATTCAGAAAAAAATAAAGCAGCTGAGTTTTTTTCATGAGAAATCTATATGTGAATGCAGACGATACATTTGTAGACATCTACCACAATTCTAACCTTTTTATGGGAGGTAGATTGCAAATAGTGTCTATCCACAGAGAGGGATATCTTAACTGTTATAAGACATTGAAACTAAGGCTTCTTTAAGTGATAACAGATCTATAATGTATGGTCAATATTGTGCCTGCAAATGTGGAAATACTCTAAATGGATTAAAGACCTTCATGATGAACTGGTGAATCTAATGGGTCAGAAATTGTACATTGTATAAACTTAGGGTGTCTTTGTCAAGTTTTATTTTTTTCAGCAAAGGGTTTCTAACAGTCTGTACATGTCCTGAGCTCTGACACTGCAGTTTTGAAGTCAGGGGTCTCTAAACTGCCACAGTTTTAAATGAACCATTCCTGATGGTTGAATTACATTCATTTATATTGGAACCTGCAGAACCCTGGCTGTGTCAGTGCCTTGCCAAGCTCGATCCCCTGCCCAGGCCCTTCCCTGGTGGGCGTGGGTGAGTGCCCCCATCCCTCTCTAAATATAACTCCCCTCCATAACAGAAAGGGAGAGGAGGGAAGGAAATATTCACCCAATCAGAAGCGCTGTGAAAAGTTGTCAGAGAGGAGATTTCGTAGGGAAACGGTGTGTTTGTCTCTTACCGTTTTGATCCATTTTGTGGCCCCGGGTGGTGCTGGTGGGGCGCACAGCGGGAGGCGCATTGTGCGTATGCAAACTGGACGAGATGGCCATTGTATGCGTTTGGGCATATATGGAGGCAGGGATGGCTCGGAGGATACAGCTTGTCTGAAGTCTCAGGAGCGGAGAGTTGCCCTCGGCTGTGTTGCTGTGCGCGTTTTTTTCTTCGCAGACTTTCTCTTGGCACTAACGCTCCGCGCCGTCGCTATGAGCTGCCTGGATGTGATGTACCATCAAAGCTATGGAGCGCACTACCTCCCTGCAGCGGCGTACAAGGCGACCTACTACAACCACCATCACCAGCAACAACAGGTGAGAGACACACCGTAATAAAAGTTTTCTTTGAATTCACTGTAGCAGAGGATTATTGCTGTTTACAAAGTTGTGCGTAAATGTCACGATTACTCTCTTTTTTTTGTTTAAGCTACTGTTCAATAGTTCATAATTAAAAAGTGCCACAGTAATTTGTGACGCAAAGAAAAATCAAAACGTAATTTGTTAGTTTCAGGAATACAGCACATAAAGGTGGAGAACTATGTAAATAAGAGTTACTGTTAAAACAATTTTAGGTGCTTCTAAAAGGTTTTTCTACGTTGTTGGCTCCTGTTCAGGACAACGCCTAAAACTTTCTTTACGCCTCATACACACCTCTTAACTTCAAATTGAGTTTTGAATGATAAAATTCCTGTCTGAAGCTCGGCATTCACCTCAGGTCATGCGTAATGACACGGAACTATTAATCCTGCGGTCAAATGGTGATGTAATGACAGCCGGTCAGTCACTCAGGAATGTGGATGAGGCACATTGAGCAGTGGGAATGCAGTATGGGAAAAAAGAAAGTCATTTTCACACAACTCCCGAGCTGCTCTCACCTAAAACTTTGAGCCATTTGAGCACTGATTTTAATTGGATTCTTTTTTTCTTTTATGATCACTTTGAGTATTTAGGCATTTCATTTGTCTGAAACAGTAAATCCTCTCCCAGATCCAGGGTACTTTAATGTAATTGCTTTGCTGAAAGTAAATCTTTCCCTGTCTCTTTCCCTCTAGAGACGGCTGAGTGTTTACAGTAAGATGCAGGAGTGTATTGAGCAGCAGCAACAACAGCAAGGAGGAAGAAGAGGAATGCTTTCTAGGGATCAGGGCCTCAGCCGGCAGGGCCCTGTGGCACCAGGAACCGAGTCAGGCCATAGATCCACAACAGAGCTGAAGGATGGTACTCAACCAGCAGAGGCAGAGTACCTGAGCTCCCGGTGTGTTTTGTTCACCTACTTTCAAGGCAACATTGGGGATGTAGTGGATGAGCACTTCTCACGGGCTCTCAGTCAGTCTAGCACCTTCAGCAGTGAGACCAAACCCATCCGAGTGACTCAGACATCTGCATCAGCCACCACTGGATTATGGAAAGGTAGGGCTACAAAGCTGGAAAAGTTCTTGAGGAAAAATGCACTAGTTTGGCCTTTTGGTTCGTTGTGCTGATTGTTTTTATGCCAGGGTTGTGATTTAATGTGATTTCATGGTTCATTTGGTCCAAGGAGAAACCAGATTCTGCTCCAGATTTCTGCCTGTTATAGTTTCTCCTTGCTACTATCCCCAGAGCTTTCTTTTAGACATATTAAGCTTAAGTCTCAATAACCTTTAGCTCAAAGTATCTTTACAGTCAAAAAGTGATTTTAAATGTCTCTGTAATACGTTGGTTTCAGATGGTGGGTCTCTGTCTGACAGTCAAAGCAGCTCAGTGTGGAACAGCCCTTATCCATCCCAGACCAGTCCTTGCCTCCCATCTGTCCCAGTGTCAGTCCACCCAGACTTCTCCACTAGTCCTGTTGCCTTTAACCACCCAGATGGAGCTCTGTGGACTGACCATGGTATCACCGGTATCAACCAGACCAGCCTCCCACCTCCGTCAACCCTCCCTGATAGCTGGACCTATAGCCTGAGTCCCCAGAGTACCACTGGCTACCCCAATGTTCCCAACGTCTACCGGGCCCACCCCCATCCCCACATCCACACCCGACACCACCGCCATCACCCCATGCTCAATTCATACCCAACACACAGCCCAGCACTGGATCCCAGGTTTAACCCTCTGCTCATGTCTGGAGTTAGAAACCAGAACCAGTCCACCACCAGCACAGGGAGTATCCCTCACAGCGAAGGGGTGAAGACGGAGATGGACCCCAGCAGAAACAGCCCCGTTTCAGCTACTCCTGTTAGCTGGACCCACTCGTCCCTCCATGGATCCTTGGAGGTGTATGACTCAGGTATATACATCAAAAGAATATCTTCAGAGTAATAAACACAACTTTACATGCATGCTAACCTTCTTCTTTCCTTCATGCAGCTCTTGATCAGACCAAAGCAAAGACTTCAGTTTGGTTCTGATGGCCACAAAGAGGGAATTAAGTCACACCAGAAAGGACCTATTTTCTGGCTCTTTTATTGGTTGGCAGCAGCACCAGCACTGTAATGTACAATGGACATGGAAAGGTTATTGTAGCTCACACTATGAATCCCCAAAGACGAACCTAACACTCTGGACTGAAAGGACAGTTGTCTAATGCTTTGGTGGGAGTTGAGGCCTGTGAAGAGGACTACTACAGGACTAAACAGACTACTACTTCAGTTTGGGAGGTGTCTCTTTCCTTGTCAGCACAGAGAACATTTCCATTGTGCATATAGTGTGAGACATAGTGGTTCTGTTTCAAGAACTTGATTTTGGTCCACATTTTCTTTTTGTACAGTAAAGTTTTGTTTATTTTTCTGTGTACAGTTTTGCCAGGATAAGGTGTTTGCTGGATGATTTCTGCAAAAAGAAATGTTGCCTAAAGTTTTTGCTATGTTGCCTTCAGAGATTGTGAAGTGTAAATAGTAATAATGTACATTAAAGAAATAAATGGTTGAACTTAATTAAAGATTGAAGGCTGTTTTTAAGACATGCGGCTGTCTCTTACACAAGATAAACAAACCTGAAGCAAATATTCATTTCCAACAAAGCTTCTAAGGGGAATAGCACATCCTTAGATGTCCACTTACAGAACAAATTTTAAATCAAATTTCTTTCCCCCAGAGATAGAATCTCATTATGCAACTTGTTACAGCTAACTTTCCTGATATATGTCGCTGAGTGCTGTTAGCGCCTAACCATGAAAAATCAGAAAACCTTAGTTTTCTTTTGCTTTACAGTATAACATGATTGATGTGTTGTTTGTTCTTTTAATTGATTAAATGGTTGCTGTTTTTACATTAAACCCCCCATCTTAAGTAAAAACAAAAACTATGGAATATCTAGTCAATAATGCCCAGATGTCTTTTTTTTGTTTGTTTATTTGTTTGTTTTTTTGTCTTGTTTTTTTTTTTGTTTTGTTTTGTTTTGTACTAAAGCTTTCATGATTTGAAAGCAGACTTAGTAATCTGACAGAACTATGAGATGACACAGTGTGATGTGGTGTGTTACAACCATAGATTGTATTTACCATGGACAACTTGGTTCCGCCTACCACCTGTATATGGATTTGAGCCAAATAGCTCTCGGTATTTCTGGGATTTTTCTTCCTTTCCTGAAACCAGCGCTGCGCAGTAGGGATGCGCGCATTTGGGCGTGCAGTCGCCGAGAGTCACTGTGATGACGCTTGGCTCAAACAGTGTATTCCCCTGGTGAGCTACGCAATCCCTGAACGCCCATAGGCTGTATCAGGTGTCAATCATAGAAAACATGAACCCCCTAATAACTTTTAAAAACGTAGCTGCACAGAAAAGAGAGGACTTGAGCACAAACCAGTCTTACAGTAACTACATGTCAACATCACAAGCAGGGGGGAGAAAAATTTCTATTCTGTGTAATAAATTTCTAAAGTTTGTCCACAGCTTTGCTGGCGGAGGCGGGATTTATGACCTATACTGCAGCCCGTCAACAGAGGGTGCTGTTCTCGGAGTGGCTTCACCCAGCAAGGAGGCAGACGCTGTCCATTCTTTAAACAGTCTATGGTTACAACAGAAAACTGCATGATGCTAAACCATATGGAAGGAAATGATAAGGTGAGATACAATCTCACATCATATCATATCGCATCATATCATATCAAATCATACAGCAAAGTACCAGACAAAACAAATGATGTGAGTCAATAATATACACTACATTACAATACAATACAATACAATACAATACAATACAATACAATATTGTATGATGCAAAACCCATTATTACCTCCACCAAGGAGGTTATGTTTTCGGTAGCGTTGGTTTGTTTGTTTGTCTGTTAGCAACTTAACGGAGAAAGTAACAGACGGATTGACCTGAAATTTTCACCAGAGGTGCGTCTCAGCCCCAGGAGGATCCCATTTAATTTTGCTGGTGATCCAGACAAAATTCTGGATACTGTGATCCAGAACGCACAAAAATAAGGGTGTCGTTGGAATTTTCAATTCTGAAAGAAAACGAATGGGCGGCACAGTGGTGTAGATAGGCAGCACAGTGGTGTAGTGGTTGGCACTGTTGCCTCACAACCAGAAGGTCCTGGGTTTGAATCCTGGTCAGGGCATTTCTTGTTTAAGGGGCGACATGAGCTGCTTGGCGAAGGTCTGCGCTCTCCGAGTGCTTTTCTAGTTACCCAATGATACAACGCAGTATGATATGATATGATATGATATGATACTGCCAATATAATTCAATGCAATACACTGTGTCAAACACAACCTGACAAACAGCATAATAAGATACGATATGTCAGATACAGTACAATTGATACAACTGGTTAAAACAAACATGATACAATACAGTACAATATAAAAATGTGTATAATACAATACTGTACGTTACAATCCCACACGATACCACATGAGATGATAGAATACAATACAATTTGTTTTGACAGAAAAAATACAATATGAAAAAATAATATGGTACAATGAGATACAATGAGATACAGTGCAATACGATACAATATGCTTTGCTTTTACCAAAGATTAAGGTGACTTGGACTTTCCTCATGTGGCATTATCTCTTGTTTTCTGTCTGAATAGATAACTACATTTTTATTTTAAAACTAAAGGATAACTCTTTTTCATTTATCTTTTTTTTTTTTTTAATGTGTTTTTACCAAAAGCAAATGGGGATTACGAACTCCAAAAAGCAGGCCTTTTTGTTGACTGGTAATTCTGTTTTTGAATGGTGCAATCAAGTTATGTTCCTATATTGATTTAATTGTAGTTTAATTGATATTGTTTTGATATTTTTACTTTCACTACTGTCCATACACAAACATGTAACTGACCTTGGCTGTAGGTAAAAATAAGGATACAGCTGTTTTTCAGCATGTAATCACTTCATTGTTGTCGGCACAAACACAGCTAGATGACTAACTGTATGTTATGGAGCAAAGGGGGCTGAATTGTGGCACCAGGGGAAGTGTGCTGCATTCCACAGACCATTATTGTAAGATACTATGAAAACCTATTTGTCTGTCTGCACACAAACACTGATAGAAAAACACACATGCACACCCAGACTGACAAACACACACTAAAGAATGTATTTCCTGTCTGGACCAGAAGTTTGTCAGAGAGCGGTGCACTACTCCAACAATCAAAGACACGGGAACACACAAAAACAGATCTTAGGTGTCAATGGTTGCATAATTTCAGAATTATGTTTCAGTTGTCCCTACAACTTTGTGTAAAAAAAGTAAGATCTTCAATCAAATCTGATCATCTAAAGATCTTCTATATGTTCTAAAAGTTTTAAAAAGTTGATCAATAATATGAAATCTGAATCGATTGCTGTTTGAATTCCTAACACAGGCTCAGTTTGGTGCCAGGATGAGCTTTATTTGTTCTCATCCTGACATAATCAGCAGCTGGGTGAGCTTATGCAAGCATGCCCAAGTGTGTGTGTGTGTGTGTGTGTGTGTGTGTGTGTGTGTGTGTGTGTGTGTGTGTGTGTGTGTGTGTGTGTGTGTGTGTGTGTGTAAACTGAGTGGTCAGACCAGGTGGTCTGATCAGCAGTAGTAGTCCAGAAACATTCCTGTCTCCTCTCCTGCATCTCTCCATCCCCATCTCTACCAGACAGCAGGACTCTGGAGCTCCACAGCTGCTTTTCCATCCAACATATCAACAAATCATGATGCACTGAAGAGGAAACATCTTGATCAAAGAAGCTGATTTAACCCTCATTGATGACATTTGGTTATTATCAACAATACATTCCTCAAGTACTCATTGGAGATTGGGCCGCATTTTGCTGAAGGATGAGATTTTAATGAAATGCAAAAGCAATAAAGTCCAGCTTATTTACCCAGACAGGCCAGGGAAATTGTTGCATTATTGGTTATGGTAAGCAATACTCTTAAAAGGATGGATTGGAAAGGCACTTCAATAAGAAGAGCTTTGTGTTTTGTGATGTTTGTTTTTCTACTATTTCAATTTACGATGTCATTTTAGCAGACGCTTTTATCCAAAGAAATGTACATATGAGAACAACTGGGCACAGCCAGCAGGGCAGGCAGGGTCAAGTGTCTTGCCCAAGGACGCTTCAGCACATGGACAGCTCTGGCTAACCCCTGACTTTCAGAATGGGAGGCGACTCACTATCAACTGAGCCATGGCTGCCCCAGTCCATTTCTATTTGTGCTCAGTCACATAGGAAGCTACCTACGTGCTGTAAACCACCGAGTTGTCACATGTCTATACATGCTGGCTGAGTCTAATTCACAACACTATTCTGGACTTGGATCCCTTTGAGTGTTTTTGGTATATATACCTTCACAGAAAGACACCATGCCTCATTTTTCTGTGATATTTTACACCCACCTGTCTCTCCACTCTATTTGCTCACCGGTTTGTATCCTTTAAACTAGTGTTTTTAACTTGTTGTCTGTTGTCTATCGCTTGAAGGAGAAATTTGGTATTTTTCCACCTGAGTCCTATTTTTACATGTGTTTGAGTGTGCTTTACTGATGAGAAAACTGTTTCTGAAATACGTCCAGTTTTCAGGGAGAGCTGAGCAACTGGCAGCCACAAAACAAGCTGAAGCGTAGTTTGACTGTGCAATTGTGCATCATCAAACTGAGTCCACTACGAGGGCTTTATTTCATCACTGACAGGCTCAGATTGGTATCACATCCTGTAGAAGAGATCTTAACCTTGGTGTGTTATTACCAGGTCAAATGAAGTTGCGGCTTTTCCTGACATGTTTGAAAGGTGAAAATAGTGTCCCTGTTTGAGTTTAGCAAAGCATTATTACCATTTAATCTAAACATTAACAGTCAGCATCATATACCATCACACGAGCACTAAACAAATACATGATATAACTTGTATCCACATCTGTTATCTTGTATTGTTGAACGTTTTTTATTTTTTTTATTTCTGCATGCATGTATGTATCCGACACAGGAGATGTGAGCATTATGTGCTGTACCGGAAAACAAATTCCACTAACCCTGTTATGTGGCCATTAATAAATGATTGTGATTCTGATGATGTTTTGATAGTCTACTGTGAATCCTTTAAAATGTCTGTTTGGTGAATCAACATATGAGGCTTTAGAGATTTTAGAGGTCAAAGAGGAAAAAGAAAGAGGTTAAAAATGATAAAGATGGAAGGATGGAATATGAGTTTAAAGCAAAGTGTGTCCTCTCCTCATCTCCTCCTCTCCTCTCCTCTTGTTTCCTCCAGGCCTCCTAATTATCATTAGTATGTAGTTCCCACATCAGCATGTAGTGCACTTATATGCTAACAGGCATCCTGCTGGCAGCCCCACAGGCACTTCCACTCCAGGAAGAACACTGAGTTACTGTAACACAGAGGTGGAAGCTTTATAATGTGAATTTATGTGTCAATTATTAAAATAAAGCAGTAGGCAGAGATGTAGGAAATGTTGCTTGTGTAGCATTAGCTTTAAATTAATC